AAAATGTGTTATAAAAAGCATATACCTCTAGAAATTATGAGGTTGTATATTATTAAAATTTGCTAATCTGCTGACAGAATACTGGTACATAATAACTCTCCATTGTCTACTTCCTAGTTTTCTTTGTAAAATAAAGATTTCTAATGGTTTTAATTTATAATCAATATATAAAAACAAAACTACTAGAAACAGAGTAAAGGGAAACCACTTTGTATACAAAGTATGGACAAGTAGGATGTATTTTTATATGAAAGGTATGCAAGAAATGAAGAAATGTGTTTTTGTTAAGATAAAAAGGAGAGTGATTTTGTCTTAAAGTAGAATGTAAAAGAGGGAAAGAGTTGGAGAAAATGTGAATGGATATTAAAAAAAGTTGTAGGTTTGTGGAAAAGGAAATGTTTATGTTTCAAGGTCAAAACTGGCTGAGATTAAGTGGATTTACATATAAAGTGTTTATTTTTGAAATGAACTTTAATATCAATGCTGTACTAATACAAAACCAGAATTCAGTTTTCTCTTTGTTAAAAGGACAAAATTTCTTAAATTACTGGTATGCTTTTAATAACAGATTGTAAGAGGCTTTTCTTTACCCTTCGAGACATATATTTTTTTGTCTTCTCAAAATAATTTCCTGTAGCCCTGGTTGATATGGCTCAGTTGATTAGGTGTCGTCCAGTGTACAGAAAGGCTGCCTGTTCGATTCTCTGCCTGGGTTTCAGACTTGATACCTGGTGGTGGTTGTGCAGGAGGCAGTGGATCGATGTTACGCTTTCACATCAATGTTTTTTTTTTCTCTCTCTCTCATCCTCTTCCCTCTCCCTAAAATTTAATTTAAAAATCTTTAAAAGTTTTTTCCTGTGCTTCATGTTGTCTTTATCATATCCTTGATCACTTAAGAGACCCAAGTCTTCTCATTTACTATTCAAAGAGCTAATGTTTTGTTTCTTTTTTTTTATGTTACCTTCTGTATTTGCCTTCAAAATCTTTTATTTTATTTTTTTATCCTCACCCTAGGACATTTTTGCATTTATCTTCAGACAGAGTGGGAAGGAGAGAGGGGGGGAAAGAGAGAGAGAAACATTGACAAATCAAGTGGTTGCCACCCGCACAACCCCAACCGAGGCCGGGGACAAACTACAACTGAGGTACGTGCCCTTGGTGGAAACCAAACCCGTGACTCTCTGGTCCACCGGCTGAAGCTCTAACCGCTGAGCCAAACCAGCCAGGGCGCCTTCCAAATCTGTTATCACCACTTTGGTTAAATAGATAACTAAGTATTGTTTCTCAATGACCTATGATCTTATTTAATTAAATATTCAAACCTTCTGACATTTTTGACAACATTCCCCAAATCAAATTCTAAAAAAAGTCTTATTTTTTTAAATTTAAATTTTTTATTGTTGACAGTATTGCAGATATCCCTCATTTCCGCTTCCTTTGCCCACCTCCACCCAGCCCTTGCCCCGCCTAAACAAAGTCTTCTTGAACTTGAACTGAGTAGGAAGTTTCCAAGAGGGTCCCTGGAAAACCTCAAAGGATTTGTTCTCTCACCTCATAAAGAGAGATTTGAAACAAATTAGGTTTGATATATTAAATTACATGGGAAGCAGTGCCAAAGAAGAGATACTTAACCTTTCCTAGGTTATATTTGTATGGGTAAAATGTTATTATTTTAGAAATTGTATAATTCATAGAAATTTGTCGATGCCATCACTATTCATAATATGTCCTGGTAAAATGTTATCAATCTAGTTATTATTTTTAAATGTGTGTATTATATAAACAACCATATATATTTTTTTATCCTCACCCTAGGACACTTTTGCATTTATCTTCAGACAGAGTGGGAGGGAGAGAGGAAAAAAGAGAGAGAGAGAGAGAGAGAGAGAAACATTGACGTGAAAGAGACGCATCGAGTGGTTGCCACCCATACAACCCCAACTGGGGCCGAGGACAAACTGCAACCGAGGTACGTGCCCCTAGCGGGAGTCAAACCCGAGACTGTCCAGTCGGCAGGCCAATGCTCTAACCACTGAGCCAAATTGGCCAGGGCAACTGTGTTATTTTTATAATGAACTCTCATCGGATCTTTAACTATGGTCACTTCATTTATTTATTTTAATCCTCACCCGAGGATATTTTTTCCAGTAGAGAGAGAAGGAGAGAAATGGAGAGAGAAACATCAATGTGAGAGGGACACATCAACTGGTTGCCTCCCACACAACCCCAACCAGGGCTGGGGATGAACTACAACCTCAGTACGTGCCCTTGGCTGGAATCGAACCCGGACTCATTGGTCCGAGAGTCGACGCTCTACTGCTGAGCCAAATCAGCCAGGGCTAACTATGGTCACTTTAATTAAGTCTTTTGCTATCCACAGATAGTGGTTGTTTTACTCTGATACTTTTCTTAAAGCTTCTGCAACCAGCTACAGGACAGACTACTTGTATTTAACAAAAAGGGAAAGGACTTAAAGAGAAAGGACTGTGCCAGGAACTCTGGGTGTACAGGCTTCTGATGGCGTTGCTTAAATAATTCTGAAATAAACTAATAAATGAAGTCAGAATTTCTAAAAGCCAATGGGTTCATAAAATTGCTAACCCAGGATTAAGCAGAACAAAATTAATTACATGGGATTGAGTAATCTGATAAAGAGTGACTATAATTTTTTATATTTTTTGTTTGAAATATTGCTGGCTCTTAAATGTTGTATTTTCCAGATATAAGAAAATCCTGTGCTGTTTTCTCTTAATCTATGACTCACAAGCTATCTATGACTCATAAAATCTAGTCAATTTTACTTTCATAAAAGTTAAAACATTCATTTTCTTCCCCAGACTGATCCCTCAAAAAATTTGAACCTATTACTGAGTATTCTTATTTTCATAGCAATATAGGTATTTGCATAGGTTCAATGAGGATATGTCCTCTTGCCCTGGCTGGTTTGGCTCAGCAGTTAGAGCGTCGGCTTGTGGACCAAAGGGTTGAGCGTTCGATTCTGGTCAAGGGCACGTACCCGGGTTGCAGGTTCCATCCCCAGCCCCTATCAAGGTCATGTGAGAGGCAATCAATTGATGTGTCTCTCTCACATCGATTTTTCTCTCTCCCTCCCTCCTTCCCTTCCACTCTCCTTAAAACAAACAAAAAAAATCAATGGAAAAATATCCTTGGGTGAAGATTAAAAAAAATAAAAATAAATATCAATAAAAATATATTAAAAAAGAAAAGAATATGTCCTCTTTGTGATAGAACATAATTAAAACCACCAGTTACATTATGAAGGCTTTGAATAGAATGTTATATTTGAAAATGATGCATAAAATGAGGTATGACCCATTTTAAGGAACTAAGGTTGACTCTTGGAGTTGATGCTTACAAAGCCCTTCTGAATACACTGGCTTGGTATCTGGCGTAAAGAGTTTTCAGCTTTACAGGAGAGTAAGTAAGGTAACTTCCTGGAAGGCCCAGGAAACTTAGGATATTGTGGGGAGCTTGAGAAGAGAGGAATTCACTCACTGAGGTGAAGCCTGACGGAGGATTTCTGGCTTGACTTCCTAGCACTGAGAGGTTTTTAAAGTCCAACCTGAGATTCCTTATAACAACTTCCATAAAGAAAACTACAAAAGGCCTGTGTGGTCGATGACCATTCTTGCTGGAGTTACATAAATAATCAGGCCAAATTTAATGAAGCTAAAACTATTTTGTAAATAAGAACAATCTTACTGTATCTCTGATTAAAAAAGGAGATGACTGTGGAGAGGAAATTTTATGTTTCAGTGAAAAAGTATAACACACTCTGTGGGTTATCAGAATCTAGACTTCTAGTTTCCTTCAGTATCTGGCCACAACTCTACAAACTGATGTTTCCAATTTTTCTCCTTCCCTCCTGACTTGGTGTCACTAAGAGCTAAAGCCTGACTGCCTACATCCTTATTGGGACTCAGGTTATCTTGTAGTTGCCCCTTTCCTCCAGGATCTGGAAAAGTCCTGTAAACTGAAGCCTGATAACTTCATTTATTTATTTTTTTATCCTCACCCGAGGAATTTTTGCATTTATCTTCAGATAGAGCTGGGGCCGGGGGGTGGGGGGGGAAGAAACATCAATGAGAGACACAGACACAGCGACTGGTTGCCACCCACATGACCCCAACCAGGGCCGGGGACAAACTGCAACTGAGGTACGTGTCCTTAGTGGGAACCGAACCTGGGACTAGCGGTCCGCGGGCCAATGCTCTAGCCACTGAGCAACACTGGCCCGGGCGAAGCCTGATAACTTTAGAGCTGCTAGTACACGGGCCACCCAGAGAGTCCACCAAAATGCCTATTATCTTCCATGCTCTGTGGAAACAACCATGACTGTGATAATGATGTCTATGCCATCACCACATTCAAGTTATTAACCAGGATATTCATCAGGTTGCCACTGCCACCCTCATGTTATCATCTAAAGATGCTTAAAGAGTTCAATGTCTTGCCCTGGCTGGTGTTGCTCAGTTGGCTGGAGTATTGTTCTGTACACCGAAAAGTGGCAGGTTTGATTCCTGGTCAGGGCACATACCTAGGTTGCTCGTTTGATTCTGGTTTGTGGTGCATGTGGGAGGCAACCAAATGATGTTTCTCTCTCTCCCCCTTCCTCACTCTCTCTAAAAAAAAAAAGGCAGACAAAGTATGACATATTTAAAAAAAAGAGTCCGGCCGGTGTGGATCAGGGTTGAGCATCAACCCATGCACTAAGAGGTCGCTGGTTCGATTCCCGGTCAGGACACATGCCCAGGCTGTGGACCCAATCCCCAGTAGGGTGCATTCAGGAGGCGGCCAATTGATGTTCTCTCTCATCGATGTTTCTATCTCTCTCTCCCTCTCAATTCTTCTCTCTCTAAAATCAATAAAGGAAAGAAAAAAAAAAGAGTTCAATGTCTTCTTAAGTGGCTGCACTCTTGACTCAGAAACTGGTTTATAGTCTGCTCCAAACAGTAATCTTTGCTTTTCTTTTTGTTTCCATAGAGATACTCATTAAATGCCTGATTGCTCATGTTACTCAGCAAATATCCTCTACTGTCTCAACAGATGCTTCAGCTGGTCCTTAATAAACAAAAGGTGATCAAATGAGAAATCAACTTATATTGTTCAGAGGAAAGAAGATGTCTTCTAGCTGTCTTTTTCTGTTTGTTCCAGCCGACACCTGTCTTCCAGGCTCTGTGGGAGAGTAGGAGCCCAATTTTGGTAAGTACCCGTTAGCAAACCCAGGTTGATTTCACATGGACCAACTTCCCCTTTCCCACTTTTTGGAATTTTTCACTTCCCTGATTCTACTGAGCCCCTGCCCTGCCCGTTTTGTCATTCTCTCTTTAAAATGCTCTGTCACAAATCAAAGTTAAGTTTTGATCATGCTAGACTCTTTTCCCTATTGCAATAGTTATTACTGATTCAAATCCGTCCTTACCACTTTAACCTAGTATATGGCTTTATCTTTTTCTTTTTTTTAAATCCTCACCCGAGGATATTTTTCCATTTTTCTTTAGATAGAGTAGGAGAGAAGGAGGGAGAGAGAGAGGGAAACATTGATGTGAGAGACACACATGGACTGGTTGCCTCTCACATGACTCCTGGACAAGCGTGGGCCGATGCTCTAACTGCTGAGCCAAACCAGCCAGGGTGGGTTTGTTTATCTTTGACAATGCAGATATCTCTTTGAGTCCCTGCTGTCAATTCTTTAGGTATATACCCAGAAGTAGAATTGCTGGATTATATGGTAATTCTATTTTTTTTTTATCTTCACTCGAGGACATTTTGCATCTATCTTCAGATAGAGCAGGAGGAAGAGAGGGGGGAAGAGAAGAGAGAGAGAGAAACATCAATGTGAGAGAGACACATCGAGTGGTTGCCACCCACACAACCCCAACTGGGGCTGGGGACAAATTGCAACTGAGGTACGCACTCATAGCAGGAACCGAACACGGGACTCTCCGGTCTGTGGGCAGAAGCACTAACCTCTGGGCCAAACCCGCCAGGGCTCTATTTTTAACTTTTTAGGAAAAGCCATATTGTTTTCTTTCTTTTTTTTTTTATCCTCACCTGAGGACATTTTTCCATTTTTTGTTCAGAGAGAGAGGTAGAGAGAGGAAGAGACAGACAGAGAAGCATTGACATGAAAGGGACACATTGAGTGGCTGCCTCCCACACAACCCAACCAGGGCCAGGGACAAACTGCAACCGAGATATGTGCCGTTAGCGGGAACTGAACCTGGGTCTCTCTGGACCGCAGGCTGATGCTCTAACCGCTGGCCAGGGCTATATTGTTTCAGGGCTATATTGTTTTCTAAAGCGGCCACACTATTTTACATTCCCAACAGTGCACAACAGGTGCAACCTCACACCCTTGTTAACATGTTTTATTTTCTGTGTGCTTTTTTTAAAAACAGTAACCATCCTAATGTGTATGAAGTTATCTTATTGTGGTTTTGATTTTCATTTCCTTCATGACTAGTGATATTGAGTATCTTTTTTATGTGCTTATTGGCCATTTATATATTTATATTTTTTACTCTTTATTGATTTTAGAGAGAGAGGAAAGGAGAGACAGAGAGAGAAACATTGATGAGAGGGAACGTCGACTGGCTGCCTCCTGCATGCCCCTCACTGGGGATTTGGCTCACAACCTGGGCATGTGCCCTGACTGGGAATTGAACCAGCGACCTCTTGGTGCATGGGTTGACACTCAACCACTGGGCCACACCGGCCGGGCCCATTTATATATTTTGTTTATATGTTATATTTCTTTTTGTTAATCCTCACCCGAGGACATTTTTCCATTGCTTTTTTTTTTTTTTTAAGGAGAATGGAAAGGAAGTAGGGAAGGAGGGAGGGGAAGAGAGGGAAAGGGAGAGAGAGAGAGAGAGAGAGAGAGAGAGAGAGAGACAATGACATGAGAGAGAAACATTGATTGGTTGCCTCCTGCACGACACTGACCGAGGCTGGGGATTGAACCTGCAACCCAGGTATGTGCCCTTGACTGGGAATCAAACCTGAGACTGAGACGTTTTGGTCCTCGGGTTGACGCTCTAACCACTGAGCCAAACCGGCCAGGGCTGCATGTTGTATTACTTAAGCTGGGTGATACGGACATAGGTGTTGTTCTGTTATTATTCTTTAAATTGTACTTACACATTATTATTTTTCAAAATTATATTTTATAATTAAAAAAATAAAAATATACAAGGCACAATAGGAGCTGGGGGTGGGTCTTGGTGGACTACAATCTGACCTTCTTAGCCTGTGGGCTGGGTAACGTGGGTTTTAGGCTGACATGTAGGGTTCCTGTCTTTTCAGCTGTTAATCTATATTTCCCCCCATCTTTTTAGAGTCCCTCCCTGTGTGTGCTTCTCAGAGTCAACTCCTACAGTCCCTAAAAAGTAGGCAGCATATGTGTAAGCCTATTCTCTTGGCCCTAACTGATTATACTGGATTGGACATCTGGCTAAAGCTGGGTCAATCAAATTCCCTCTGCTAGAAAGATGATAAAAATCCTTGTTCCTTTAAAAAAATTTTTTACTTATTGATTTGAGAGAGAGAGAGAGGGGGAGAGAGCGAGACTGATTTGTTGTTCCACCCACCTATGCATTCATTGGTTGATTCTTGTATGTGCCCTGACCGGGAATTTTACCTGAAACTTTGTCCTGTTGGTATGATGCTCTAAGCAACTGAGCTACCCGGCCAGGGCCAAAAGGCCTCGTTCTCATAAGGTAATAGACCAAGGAGGACTAAAGAGTTATCCAGTGGGAGAGGCCACTTTGGGGCACCATATACCAAAAAGGAAGCAGATAGAAGTGGTTTTTAGAGAGGAGAGGAGGATGGAAACAACTGCCAGGGGCATAGTCCAGGACCTGCCAAGTCCAGGACCACAGTCTTGGTTCCAGGTTGCTTTCTGGTTCCCGGGTTCTTTCTCAGAAAAACTCTTATTACACTGTACTATAATCTCTTCGGATGCTGGGAGGTACTCTGATTCCTTACAATAACTTCCCTTTATCTGGGCTACCATGAGTGGCTTTCTGCTTCTTGCATTTAAATGAACCCTATGCTTCCCTGGCCGGTTTGGCTCAGCGCTTAGAGCTTCGGCCTGCGGTCCCAAGAGACCCGGGTTCGGTTCCCGCTAAGGGCACGTACCTCGGTTGCAGTTTGTCCCCAGCCCTGGTTGGGTCGTGTGGGTGGCAACCACTCGATGTGTCCCTTTCACGTCGATGTTTCTCTCTGTCTCTCTCCCTCCCACTCTATCTGAACAAAATATCCACAAAAAAAAATGTCCTCGGGTGAGGATTAAAAAAAAAAAAAGAATAAACTAACAAATAAATAAATGAACCCGATGCTAAAAGGCCATTACAGTAAAACCTTGCTATAATGGACCAATTCGGTTGATGGGAAGTCCATTAAAGCTGAAAGTCTGTTATATAATAAAGTAGGTTTTCCGAATGGGTATGTTAAAAAATTGACAAATTAGTTAATCCGTTTTTACTTACATAGACATGTGTAATTAAATATATATGAAAACTTTAATTTCATAGAAAGTTCTCTATATGTATTACTATAATTTTAAATTTATACGGAATAGGTCTAGTAAATTTGTGCATTCTCTAGTTACCAGGCACGTGGCTGGGGCGTGGCTTAGCGCATGTAGGAGCATCAGCCAGCACTCCCTATTAAGACTTCAGGAGAAAGTCACACCATCAGACAACAGAACCAATTACTGCTTGGGATTTGGTGTGGTCATGTGCTATCATTCATTGAACATTGTTTACAAGTAGTGAATCTTGGATTTAAATATGTAGACTATAGTTGTAGATATGTAATGTTTATTTATGTCAGTGAAATTACTATTGTGTTTTTTTCAACATATGGCCTATTTGCTAAAATTTGTAAAAAAAATAACAGTGAATAACAAAAAATAACCTGTTAATTTAAATGTAAGCAAATCTTGGTTAAAAGCATCTTAAAATTAACAGGATATTAATTTTTACATATGACATAGGGACCGGAAATTTTGTCTGCTAAACCCAAAGTCCGTTAACTCAAGGTCCGAAAAATCAAGGGTTTACTGTATTATCTTAGTTAAGGTGTGGCACCAGTCAGAAATGGATTAAAAGGCTGTTCTTGCTTAAAAATAGCTAGCAATGGATATAGTCTCTTCACTCTGAAAGCCAGGACAGTGGGGACAAGGATGAACATTCCACAACTGTAATTAGGCAGAGCTCATCTTATCTTCTTTCCTACTTGTTAAAGGGGAATGAAAGCACTTTCTCTCATCCCATCTTTCACTGGCATCTCACTATTTTTGGCACACAGCTTGTTTTTCTAGCAAGACTGAATTCTGAAGGCAAAAATGTCCATTCATCTATATTTAATACCTCCTCATGTAACTATCACAAGATGGATATATAATAGTTACTTGTTGAATGGATGTTTGTACCTCAGTGCTTACAATTTTTTTTTATTTGAGAAAGTCAAGAAATGAAGATAGTACCTTGTTCAAAAGCTCTGCTCACACTGTCAGTCAGTTCTTTCTGTTTATCTGAAAGACAAAACCATTATCTTAATTTTTCTATTTAAATAGACTCATGATATGAAGACAAGGCTGCATTTCAGAGGTAAGGATGTTACAGGTCTAATCTCCAGAAAAAATTGGCTTCAGTATACTTAAGAAAAAAACATTCCCTGAATCATGACGGTAATGAGCATGTATTCTTTTTTGTTGTAAATCCTCACCCAAGATATTTCTTGGTTCATTTTTAGATAGAGTAGAAGGAAGGGGGAGAGAGAGAGAAAAACATCAATGTGAGAGACACATCGATTGGTCGCCTCCTACACGACCCTGACCAGGGCCAGGGATCAAACCTGTAATCCACGTATGTGTCCTTGACCGGGAATTGAACCTGAGACCATTTGGTCTGAGGGTTGAGAGGGCTGGCGCTCTAACTGCTGAGCCAAACTGGCCAGGACCTAATATGTATTCTTTTTTGTTTTTGTTTTTTTAAGTAGGTGCCCCTAGCGGAAACCGAACCCAGGACTCTCTGATCCTCAGGCCAATGCTCCAACCACTGAGCCAAACTGGCCAGGGCCAATATGTATTCTTTATTTATTAATTTTTTTAAATCCTCACCTGAGGACATTTTTCCATTTTTTTTTGTTCAGATAGAGTGGGAGGGAGAGAGAGGAAGAGAGAGAAACATCGATGTGAAAGGGACACATCGAGTGGCTGCCACCCACATGACCCCAACCAGGGCCGGGAACAAACTGCAACCGAGGTACATGCCCTTAGCGGGAACCGAACCTGGGTCTCTCGGGACCGCAGGCCGATGCTCTAACCGCTGAGCCAAACCGGCCAGGGCCCAATATGTATTCTTTATATTAATTTTTCACTTAACCACGTAAATGAACTCATAAATGCATTTGGTGACATTTTATCTTTTACCTCTGACAACAGATTCAATCTCTTCCATGGCAGCTTCACTTTGAGCTTCTGCGAGTTTTTCATTGATATCCATTATTTCCATGAGGAATTGCCCGTCCACTTCATAATCTGTTCCTTCAGAAATCTCTACTCCATGGAGCTTTAGCTATTGGGGCATAAAGCAGGGGAAATAAGTTTTGTTTAAGAAACTATTGCCAACATCATAAATCCTACTTAACCTTCTGAACAGAATACCACTTGGAAAACTTGAACTGTCCTAATAAAGAAAGTGTGAGGTTAGTGTGCTGGAAACATAGACTGAGAAAGTAATCCTTGGATGGGATCCCTTTCTGCTACTTAGAAGTGTGTGACCCTGGGGGAGTCATTTCCTTCATTTGTGCGTTTGACTAGATTTGTGAAGATGCTATAAATCCTAAAATTCTAAGTTACTTCCCTCCCCTCCCAACTCCCCAAATTACTTTCCTAAAACCCATTACCATCGAATCCTTGAAGTTTATAGGAAATGGTTTTTAAAAATGCAACCGAGCAAATAAGATCTACAGAGAATATTCAGAGAAAACCAGACTCATGTAGTGTCTTTGGGTCCCTGGACTGGCTCAGGGCTCAAGCACTCCTTTGCTGAATACAGGGGAGTGGCTGTCCCTTAGTGCAATGGACAACAGGCAGTCACACATAAAAGGGTTGGAAAATCACCTTACAAGGTATAGTCCTCTGCTCAGGGGGGTCAGAAGAGTCTTATAGGCATCATTCACCAGAGTTGAATGCTTCTTTGAGAAGTCCTTTTCAGTCTGTTAGTGGAGATGAAGATAATCTTACTACTATCCAAATCAGCCATCTTACATGAATAAACTGTTTCATAAAATACTGATGGGCAGGAACCTAAGGAAGTGACCAAAGTAGAACTGGTGTAGGATGAGCTATATTTATTGTCAACTGATGGGTTCTAATTCTGCAGGACAGGACCCTGGCTGGCTGGGGTCTGGCTGCCGCAGGGTAGAGCTGGCTGTCCAGCTCTGTCCCTGATAATTACATAACCACAAGGCCACTGCCACCAACCCAGAATGCACATGTGTTTGAGTATGATTAAGGGTGGCCAATAGACTACCTGAGACCTCTGGCTGAAGAAATCTGGGTGGACAAGACGCTGTAGTTGCTGGTACCTATGCTGGAGCTTTGCAGTATCAACTCTGAAGGAACGGTTGCTGGAAGGAAATCAAGAGATGAAATGCATGCATCAAATATATACTGATTTGTACACTATGGGCCTGGTTCCTGTTCCCATAGGGAATATGCAATAAACATGAAGATAGTGATAATTTTCAAAAGTGGTAGGTTCTGTGAAGAAAAACAGACTAGGGGAAGAAAGAGTGGTAGATGTGGTGGACAAAAAGATGGCATTTGAGCTGCCATCTGAATAATGACGACGAGTAATCAAAGATCACAGGAAAGAGCTATTCAGACCAAGGCAACAGGCTAGTTTGGCATCCTTGAGAAACTTAAAAGGTTAGTTTTGTTACTGTAGCCCATCATAAGTGCTCAATGACTAGTGGGGGCAGACCTCAGAGTTAAGGGGAAGGGGTATTACAGAATCTCACCTTATCTTTCTAAAGCCACAGTCCCTTCATCTCAGTTACCCACCTTGTCTTAATCCAATTCCTTTCACTTTCTAGTCTCAGATCCTGCCCCATCTAATCAGTTTAGCTCTGTCCAAACTTCACCACCTTTTCAAGCTACTCAACTTCCGAAGAAAACAGGAAAAACACCCATTTCTCAGACCCTCTCCCTCCAGTTCTCACTTATACCTTAGACTGCGCCCACAATATTAAGTTTTTTTCTGTTTCTACTCCCTTATCTTGGATAACACCTCAATACTCCTTTCTTATAAATTTCAACCCAAATTTAATCGCTCTGACCCTTCCCTCAAGTCTCTTTAACGCTCAAGTAACCCTACCCTCAGGCCCCGCCCCTCAAGTCTCCCTCCGTGTAGCCTCCAGCACTCAATTTCCCCTAACTTTATTCCCCGCCCCTCCAGCCACTGAGGTCTCCATCCCCTAAAGCCCTAACCCCAGGCCCGCTCCTCAGTTTCCTTTTTTTCAAGTCACACCCCATACTCCATTTCCCTAGGCCCCATCTCTTGGTCTCTAGGGTTCCGCCCACCTATCTAACCCGTCCCACTTCTTCCTTAACCTAATCGGCCCTTCCCTCTCGACGCCAGCTTCAGCAGAAGTCTCTCTCGTCCTACGCGTTTCCCGAGACCGCCTCCCGTACCAGTCCATAAGGCTGAAGTGGTCTCGAGTGGGGTCAGGTGGCTGCAGCGCCCGGCACTGTGGACAGAAGAACCCGTCCACACGAATGGGCCCCCCTGGACCACCGCAGTTCCAACACTGGGGGGAGTTGCTTCCTGCCAGCGACGGAGCATTGCAGCTTCGCTGTCTCCTCCCGAGCACCCCTGTCGGCCACAACCCCCACACCCGGGGCAAGGCCCCGGTCCGCCCGCCCCACATCTGGCTCGCGGCCTACTTCGCCGCGGTCACCTGTGTCGGGGGAGGACGGGAAAGAGCGGCCGACTAGACCAGTGCTGCTAATTGGCTGGAAAGCTAAAGGGGCAGGGTCACTCGGGGGAAACCTTGATTCTGAGTCCCGCTCTACGTTTTAAACTACAACTCCCAGCACGCACTGAGGCCATGCTTGGACGGCTACATCCGCTGCTCCTCATTGGTCCGGCAGCGGTGGAGAGGTATTTCGATTGGTTGAGGGTGGAGTTTGTATCTGTTTAGCGCCACGCGGCTGGCTGCGGCTGCTGTGTGTGTCTATGTGTAGCTCCTGCAGGTGGGCTCACGCGGTGAGTCTTAGAGGGGAACTTCTCTTGGGTGTTTGGGTGTTCGAATCCAGTCCTCAGGGTCTTAATGCGAGCTGAATCTCCCAAGCTTCCGTGTTGTCTTCTTTTTGAACTCGGGCGGGGGGTGGGGTGGGGTGGGGGGAGAGGAATGCGTGGACGACTCTCTTCCTTCTTTGAGAACTTCCAGGTGAAGTTCATTTCCCCTGTTTACTTACATGCTGAAACTGGCCCAGACTTGGAGGATAAGAAGCAACAAAGTTGTGCTCTTCAAAATCAGAGCGAAGTTGCTTTGTGAAGACTTCTATACATGTTAGTAATTATTACCGTACATTAGGTGCAGTCTCGAAAATACCAATTAGGAATCTACTCTTAGCTGCTACATTACAGGGACTGGACACACTGATCTGTGTAGGAGGATTCCCTGCAAATTGTCTATATGTAAGTGTGTGGAATGGGGTGACCAGGAGAGGGCTGGAGAACAGTCTTTCCCGGAACTAGGTTTCTCTCTCTGAAAAAAAAAAAAAATTGTGTTGCACTCATAAGGTGCTGTTGGATTCCTTGGGACTGGAATTCTGTTTACCCAGTTATCAAGTATTGCTGATGAGCATTTGTGCATCATCTCATTTAATTCTCAGTATCTACTTTTATCAGATAAGGTTCCAAGAGGTTGTGATCATGCAAAGATTTGACTCAGGCATCTGACTTCAGACCTATTTGCCTCTAACCACTGTGCTGTACTTTCTCATGGCTGAGGCCAGTGTGGTCTCCACCTGATTGACCCTTATTTATCAAAAGCGATAATAGCTATCTCATGACACACTATCTTTTGCCAGTTTTCAGGGCGGAGAAGTCTTGCTCAAAAAATTGCAGAAGGACACAGCCTGACTGAGGTAGTATTAATGCAGCTAGAGTGGCAGACTCAGCTCTGGCATCACCTTCCTGGTGTGCTTTAAGGAAAACTCATCAGGACCTTTGTATCTGGAAAGCTGTGTAAATGCAGTGAGTAATGCTTATTATGTTCTGGAGTAGTCAGAGTGTCGGGATCAGAAGAGATAGTACCTTTAAAAAAGAATAAGATTAGGAATTTAGAGTTAGGGGTTGAAAGTTACTTTGAGTATACTGTAGGTTCTGTTATTAGAGTTTAACTGTCCATCAAGTTAATTATAAAGCAAGGGTGGGAACCTCTGTTACAGTCTTCTGTGGTTCAAAGAATGGTTCCTGCAAAATTATGAAGGGCTGGCAGGCCATTTAGTATGCTGAAAAGATGAGCTTATAGTTACTTAGCATCACAAAAGACTAGGTGGAGTTGTTTATAGCAGTCTTCTTTGTGTTCTGCCTCATTAAGTGCCCTAGCATTTAGCTGTGAAGGAAACTAATCAAACCACCCAACCTGGTCCTTACATTCCCGAGCTGGTTTGGGGGTGGAGGGGGCATCAGGGACCTTTTTTGTAAATACTCTCCCTGGAGTGGTATAGCAAATTACTGAAGTTTCTCTTGGCCCATCTTCTACCCTAAACCATCAGACGCTTCCCCTTCTTTCTCTTTCCAAACATATATGACCTTAAGCGTGGTGTTGATTGTATTAATGAATACATTTTAGGTTTTATTGCTAATTTTTAAAAATTGAGTGAATGGCCCAGCCAGTGTGGCTCAATCTGTGGCTCAGTGGATTGAGCGTTGTTCCATGGATTGAGGGGTCCTGGTTCGATTCCTGGTCAGGGCACTTGCATGGGTTTCGGGCTTGATCCCCAGTAGGGGGTGTGCAGGAGACAGCCAATTGATGTTTCTCTTTCACATCAATGTTTATATCTACCACTTCCTCTACCACTTCCTCTCTCTCTAAAAACAAATCAATAAAAAAGATTGGGTGAATGTAAGCTGTTATGAGTTTCTTCCCCTCTCCCCAACTCAGTTTCATTGCTTTTTACTTATTTATAGCCTTCGAATAATATATATATATTTTTTTATCCTCACCCGAGGACATTTTTTTTTTTTTTTGTTCAGGTAGAGTGGGAGGGAGAGAGAGAGAGAGAAACATCGATGTGAAAGGGACACATCGAGTGGCTGCCACCCGCACGACCAACCAGGGCTGGGGACAAACTGCAACCGAGGTACATGCCCTTAGCGGGAACCAAACCCGGGTCTCTCGGAACCACAGGCCGACGCTCTAACCGCTGAGCCAAACCGGCCAGGGCCGAATAATTTTTTTGTTTCTTTCCCCTGTGGTTTGTGGCTATCAGACAAAAAACTGATCTAGTGAAAGTGATGATGAAAAAGCTCAGCCCAGAGGAGCTATAGGTCAAGACTATTAGAATTTTAATTTTTGCACAGCAGGCTTGCCCTGGATTTTTTTTTTTTTTAAACTATTGTAATATGCTCATCTTTCACTTTTTAAAAAACATATTTATTGATTGATTGGTTTTAGAGAGAGAGGGAAAGAGGGGAGAGAGAAAAAGGGAGAGAGACGTTGATTTGTTGTTCCACTTATTTATGCATTCATTGGTTACTTCATTGGTTGGCCTGATGCTCTAACCACCTTAGCTACCCAGCCAGGGCCTCATCCTTCACTCTTGAGCTTTAAGTCTTGTTCTTTGAAATTCACCTTATTGTTGGACACTTATTTTTGAGGTCGTGATGTCTCGGGAGACGGATGTGGAACGTCAGCAGTCCCATGGCAGCAGCGCCAGCTCTCAGTCCCATGGCCCCTCCTTACAAGGCTCATCCTCACAGTCCCAGGGCACATCCAGCTCTACCAGCACAGTGCCATCGTCCAGCCAGTCCTCTCACTCCAGCTCGGGGACGCTGAGCTCCTTAGACACAGTATCCACTCAGGAACTGTATTCTATTCCTGAGGACCAAGAACCTGAGGAGCCCCTCCCTGCCCCTTGGGCTCGATTATGGGCCCTTCAGGATGGATTCTCCAATCTTGGTAAGACCCTTTGTTATATATTATAATAATTAATATTGTGTTTAGAAAAACAATTACAGATTTTTTTGCAAGAGAAAGCTCAAGACACTGCCAATTATGGGGCCTGTACAAGCTGATCCAGGACTACAAGAACCTGTCCTAAGACTTGAACCTATGCCATTACCTGTCCTCTTCCCTGCACCAAAACAGCTTCTACTCATCTGATGCTGGGTGGTGTTGGGACTATCTCATTTAAAATTTAAAATAATCCTATGAGAGTAGTATTCTTACCTCTATACAGAAGAGCAAACTGAAGCTTAAGGAGAAATCAGTTAACTTGTCTATAGTATTACAGCCAGGAGTTGGTAGAGGAAGGATTTGAACCTATAACCTTCAGACTTTAGACTTATGGTATTAACCTGTCATTTGAAAGAAGTGCGTGCGATAAGAAAGGTAATGAAATTAGCCAAAGAGGACTGTGGAGCCCAAGGAAGGCTTGCTACAGTATGAAATGAGTGTGAGAGAAAAAGGTAGAGAGAGATTGAGATTAAAAATGCTTGAGTGGGGCCCTGGCTGGTTTGTCTCAGTGATTAGAGCATTAGGCTGAGCACTGAAAGGTCTCAGGTTCAACTCCCAGTCAGGGGCACGTACCTGGGTTGCAAGTTTGACCCCCTGCCCTGGTCAGGATTGTTTGGGAGGCAACCAATGGATGTGTCTCTCTCACATTGATGTCTCTCTCTCACACCCTTTCCCTCCCTCCCTTCCACACTGTTAAAAACAAAAAATCAATGGAAAAATATTCTAGGGTGAGAATTAACCAAAAAAAAAAAAGCTTAGTGAGGACCTGGCCAATGTGGCTCAGTTGGTTGAGCATTGTCCCACGCAACAAGAGGTCTCTGGTTCCATTCTCAGTCTGGGCACATACCCAGTTTGCAGGCACTATCCCTAGTAGGGGGCATGCAGGACGCAGCCCATCGATGTTTTTCTTTCCTGCGTAAAATCAGTAAAAATATATTTTTAGCCCTGGCCAGTTTGGCTCAGTGGTAGAGTGTTGGCCCTTGGACCAATGAGTTGCGGGTTCGGTTCCGGCCAAAGGCATGTACCTCAGTTGTGGATCGTCCCTAACCCTGGTCAGGGTTGTGCAGGAAGCAACCAATTGATGTGTCTCTCTCATGTCGATGTTTCTCTCTCTCTCTCTCCCTTTCTTTTTCTTTTTCTTTTTTTTTTATTAATCCTCACCCAAGGACATTTTTCTTTTGTACAGATAGAGTGGGAGGGAGAGAGGAAGAGAGAGAGAGAGAGAGAAACATCGACGCGAAAGGGACACATCGAGTGGCTGCCACTCGCACGACCAACCAGGGCCGGGGACAAACTGCAACCGATATGTGCCCTTAGCGGGAACTGAACCCGGGTCTCTCCGAACCGCAGGCCGACGCTCTAACCGCTGAGCCAAACCGGACAGTGCTCTCTCCCTTTCTTTCCCTCCCTCTCCCTCCCACTCTGTCTGAAGATAAATAAAAAAATATCCTTGGGTGAAGATTAAAAAAAAAAGGTTTTTTAAAAAAATGCTTGGGTGCCTGGCTGGTGTGGCTCAGTGGTTGAGCATCAACCCATGCACCAAGAGGTCGCCGGTTTGATTCCCGGTCAGGGCACATGCCCAGGTTGTAGGCCCAATCCCCAGTGTGGGGCATGCAGGAGGCGGCCAGTCAATGTTCTCTCTCATTGATGTTTCTCTCTCTCTCTCCCTCTCCCTTCCTCTCTCTCTCAAATCAATGAAGGAAAAAAAAAATGCTTGGGTGGGAAGAAAATAAGAGTATAGCTGGTGTAGTGGGGGGAAAGGTGAAGGTGCTACAATCAGAGAGACATGGGTTTAAGTCCTAGCTCTGTCTCTGGCTCTCTCAATTCAGGCAAATGGTGCTACTTCTGTGAGTCTCACAGTCCTCATCTGTTAAATGGAGAAATAATGTTAAAGCAAATGCAAGGGAGATAAGCCAAAGGTTGGGATTGAATGGGATCAAAAGTAGAGATGGGTTAACTTTTCCGAGATGACTTTAATTGTTTCAGGGATACAGGACTCTCTGAGAGGAAGACAGTGAATTAGAACTTTGAAGAGGTCTAGAATCCAGGCAAAGAAAATAACTTTTCTGAACTTTCAACTCACATATCAAAAACAATATATTTCTTTGTTTCTTTTTTTTAAATTTAATTTTATTTTCAGATAGAGCGGGAGGGAGAGAGGGAGGAAGAGAGAGAGAGAAACATCAATGTGAGAGAGACACATCGAGTGGTTGCCACCCACATGACCCCAACCAGGGCCGGGGACAAATTGCAACCGAGGTATGTGCCCTTAGTGGGAACCGAACCCGGGAGTCTGGTCCGTGGGCCAGTGCTCCAACCACTAAGGCAAACCAGCCAGGGCCAAAAACATTATATTACTTACTCTTCCCACACACCCTCTCATCTGCACCCCTTTCTCTACCAGAAGGAGGGGCCCATCCTTCCTTGGGTTCATACCCCTAATTGCCTCAGAGAGCTTTGGGTCCCCTTAACTCCTAACTTGTTCTTTCCGCCCTTCTGCACACATCTGCCTGAGAGCTCTCCTAACTGAGCAAAGGTCAGAGTAGGTCTTCCATGGGAAGCTGCTCCTTTCATTCTCTACCAGCCCTGGACTGTTAGTGTCCTGATGACTTCTCCATACCCTTTTCCCAACTACCCTGAAGCTCCTGGTTTCTAGTAGAAATACCATGGTTCATTTATTCCTTCCCTTATTAATAGATACTTAGGTTATTAACAGTATTTCTTCTTGCAAGCAAGATTGCAGTGAACGGCCCTATGATTTTCTTCTTGGTCAGTTGAACAAATGTCTCTCCAGGGTAGAGCCTGAGTCACATTGTTGGGACAAAGAGTAGGCATGGATTTCCTTTGTAATGGATACTGACATTGCCTTCCAAAGGGGCAGTTCAATCTATTCTTCCTGTCTTGCCTCCTCCAAGAAGCCTCCTTGATTGCCCCAGGCAGAGTTGCCTAGGCCCTGCATTTGTGTTTCCTCTGGACAGCACCTGCACTGATGTTTCCATGTTTGTCTCCCCACTAGACTGTAAACTCTTTTCAAGGGGTTAATTTGATTTTTTTGAAGAGGTCATATTTGCATTAGGTACAAAATTCATCTGACTTCTGTCCTTCCCTCAACTACTTCCTAGTATTGGGGATTTCTTATGTAGCCTTTGAGGGGATACTTGATGCACGTGTGTAAGCAACTAAGTATCTATATAGTCTTCCCTTTATTTTTATACTAATTGTAATTCATAACACATTGTTTTGCAACTTGCTTTTTTTTTTTTTTAATTTATTGATTTGAGGGAGAGGGAGGGATGGGAAACATTGATGTGAGAGAAACATTGATGAGTTGCCTCCTGTACGCTTCCCAAGTGGGGAATTGAACCCACAACCTTTCAGTGTACGATACAATGCTTCAACCAACTGTACCACCTAGCCAGGGCTATGTTGAACTTTTTGAAGAACCACAAACTTGTCCACAGTGGCTGTATCATTTTACATTCCCACCAGGAATGTATGAGAGTTCCAAGTGCTTTGCATCTGTGCCAATACTTATAATTTTCCTTTTTCTTTTAATATGTTTTTATTGATTTTTTTTTTTTTTTTTTTTAGAGAGAGAGGAAGGGAGAGAGAGAGATAGAAACATTGATGTGAGAGAGACATCCGTTGGCTGCTCCCACACACCCGCCATGGGGGATCAAGCTCCCAATCCAGGGACGTACCCTGACTGGGAATCTAACCGGGACCTTTGTCCATGGGACTGTGCTCAATCCACTGTGCCACACTGGCTGGGCATTATTTTCCTTTTTCAAAAAGAAAAATTATAGCCATCTTCATCAATATAAAGTGGTCGCATGTGTAATTTTCTTTTTGTTAATCCTCACCCAAGGATATTTTTTTCATTTTTTTTTTTTTTAATTATTAGGGAGAGTAGAAGGTGTGGGGGGAGAAAAACAGAAACGGAAACATCAGTGTGAGAGAGACACATCGATTGGTTGCCTCCTGCACCTGCCCTGACCTGGGCTAGGGATCGGACCTGCAACCAAGGTACATGCTTTGAACCTGAGACCCTTCGTTGCTTGGACTGACGCTCTAAACGCTGAGCCACACCAGCCAGGGCTGTATATGTAATTTTTTTTTATCTTCACCTGAGGACATTTTTCCATTTTTTGCACAGATAGAGTAGGAGGGAGAGAGAGGAAGAGAGAGAGAGAGAGAGAAACATCGACGTGAAAGGGACACATCGAGTGGCTGCCACCCGCACGACCAACCAGGACCGGGGACAAACTGCAACCAAGGTACATGCCCTTAGCGGGAACCGAACCCGGGTCTCTCCGGACCGCAGGCCGATGCTCTAACCGCTGAGCCAAACCCGCCAGGGCTGGATATGTAATTTTGATAGCTCTTGACAAATTATCCTTCCTAGACATTGTATAAATTATATTCTGTCAATGTATGAGAGTACTTGCTTTTTCATAATTCTTACCACCGTAATGTAATATGGACCTTTTTGATTTTTGTCAATCTGATCATTGAAACATGGAATTTTAATGTATTTTTTAATAGTTAATTATGTGTCAGACTTGATAACTTAATCAATTTATGTATCCTGCTTTCAGTCACTTTATATTAACTGCTTTCATTACTTAATTAATTAGTTTCTATATACAGCTTTCAATCACTTTTTATTAAATGCTTCCAAAAACTGCAACAGGTGTAGGAATAGATTGATGATATCCAAGTAGAGGTTGGTGGCAGCCAATACATAACTCTTCAGGTGATAGCCTTTGCATTAGGAGTGTGTCATAGATGATGAATCTGCAGAAAAGAAGGGGTCCTACAGCAGCCACAGCCAATTCCCTGTCTCACTATAAAAAAATAACTTCAAGATTCCTGACAAGCACAAAAACGGCAAACAGTCCTGCTCCAAATTTCCTGAAAACTTTCTTAGATTGTAGAGTATATATAGTCAGTACAAAAGCTTGCAGAATAATATACACATCATGGAAAGTAACAGCTAAGGCCACAGTCAGAGCTTCCAACAGTGTAAATCCAAAAAGCAGATACAGGTTAAGGGGAGGCTTATGACTGTTTAAAGTCAATGCAGAAATGAAACCCAAAGTTCCAGTGGCAGATACCAAAATTAAGGCAGGACTTTCATGTACAAATGTCTGTATAGACTCAAAGTGCAGATGTCACTGTAGTTAAGAGAACTTGCAGGGAAAGGTTGCTGTAGACTTTTCTTAGAAAGGCCACTGGGGCCCTGGCCAGTTTGGCTCAGCAGTTAGAGTGTTAACCCGCACACCAAAGGGTCGCAGGTTCGAGTCCGGTCAAGGGCACGTACCTCGGTTGCAGTTCAGTCCCTGGCCCTGGTTGGGGTTGTGCGGGGGGCAAACATTCGATGTGTCTCTCACATCAGTGTTTCTCTCTCTCTCCTTCTCTCTTTCCCTTCCTGCCACTTTATCTGAAAATCAATGGAAAACTGTCCTCAGGTGAGGATTAAAAAGAAAAGAAAGGCCATTTGGGCCCTGGCTGGTTTAGCTCCATGGTTAGAGCTTCTGACCATGGTCCAAAGAGTAGTGGATTTGATTCCCAGTCAAGGGCATGTACATGGGTTGCCGGTTCAATTCCCAGTTCTGGTCAGGGTCGTGGGCGAGCCGACCAATTGATGTGTCTCTCACACTTTGATGTTTCTCTCCCTCCCTCACCTCCATTCTATCTAAAAATGGAAAAATATCCTTGGGTAAGGATTAACAAAAAAAAAGGCCATTCAGATGTGTGTGCAGTGGCAGAGGTCACACAGCTGCCATAGTTGAAGTCATCGTCTATCCAGGAGTGGGAGTAGTGGAGTCAGAGTCAGCCATGTTCAATAACAGAACCCCCAGCTACCCTGCCGAGTAAGGAAGATGACACGGACCACAACCTTAATGTATTTTTGGGTTTTGAACTGTCTTGTATTGAGTTAGTTGGCCATCTTTTCTTTCTTTCTTTTTAATCCTCACCCAAGGACATTTTTGTATTTATCTTCAGACAGAGAGGAGGGAGAGAGGGAAGAAGAGAGAGAGAAACATCAATGTGAGAGAAACACATCAAGTGGCTGCCACCCACACGACCCCATCCAGGGCCAGGGACCAATTGCAATTGAAGTATGTGCCCTTAGCGGGAACCGAGCCCAGGACTCTCTAATATGAGGACCGACGCTCTAACTGCTGAGCCAAACCGGCCAGGGCTGGCCACCTTTTCTTGTACTGAGTCCAGTTGCCTTCCTGGAGTTTATGTTCTAAGGGGAATATGGGGAGACACTATACAAATAATCAAGGTAATTCCAGTTAGGGTCCATACTTAGGGGGAACCAAAACCAGGCTATCATGATAATAGGTGGGTGGTAAGGTCAAAGCCTGCTTATACAGAAAACTGAGTGGGAGAAGATCATCTGAGTCCAGACACAAAGACAAAGTAGCCATTAAAATCACTGGGAACAGCCCTGGACGGTTTTGCTCAGTGGTTAGAGCACCGGCTTATGGACCAGAGAGACCCGGGTTCGGTTCGTGCTGGGGCACGTACCTTGCTTGTAGTTTGTCCCCAGCCCTGGTTGGGTCGTGTGGGTGGCAGGCACTTGATGTGTCCCTTTCACGTCGATGTTTCTCTCCCTCTCTCTCTCTCTCTCCCTCTCACTCTATCCGAACAAAATATCAAAAAATGTCCTCGGGTGAGGATAACAAAAAAAAATAAATAAATAAAATCACTGGGAATAAAATATGCAAAAACCATAAGACAGGTTTTGCCCGGCATATTTGGGGCTGTGAGAAGATGCCAGTGGCGCTGGCTGCAGTGATGGGAGGGGCACAGGGTGAGGTAGAAGGGATCAGGGGCCAGATCTTAAGCATCTAGCCTGCCATGAGAAGGAGTGCAGATATGCTAAGTTTGATAGGAAGCCTCAGGAGGGTAACAAGTAGAAAATTATTATATTGTAAGTATTTTTCCAGATGATTAAAAATTGTTTGAGGACTTTTTTTAAATTCTCACCTGAGGATATGTTTTCATTGATTTGAGAGAGTGAGTGAGAGAGAAGCATTGGTGTGTGAGAGAAATATCGGTTGTTGCCTGTATGGCCTGTCTGTGCCCAAACTGGAGATTGAACCCACAACCTAGGTATTGTATGTGCCCTGACTGGGAATTCAACCCACAACCTTTTGGTGTACAGTACAAGGCTGCAACCAACTAAGCCACCTGAACAAGGACTGTTTGAGGACTTTCAATGACCACATGGAATTTTGTGGTATATATAAACCATAATTTATTAAACTTGTTGGAACTTTTTTTTGTTTCTTCTTCCCCCTCGTTTTTATTTCATTTATTTATTTTTAATCCTCACCCAAGGACACTTTTCCATTGATTTTCAGATAGAGTGGGAGGGAGGGGGAGAGAGAGAGAAACATCGATGTGAGAGAGACACACAGCGATTGGTTGCCACTTGCACAACCCCAACCAGGGCCAGGGATTGAACCGCAGCTGAGGTATGTGCCCTTGACCAGAATCAAACCTATGACCCTTTGGTCCATGGGCTGACTGACGCTCTAACCACTGAGCAAAACTTGCCAGGGCACCCCCTCATTTTTAATTTTAAAACATCTTGATAAACCCATAATTTTGATTGCCTTCTTAGGCTATTTTCCTACTAGTAGATTTTATAAGCAATTTGTAAAGGTGTTTGATACATGAAATTCAATAACCCTCTGGTGTGTGCTTCTGTGTTACAGATTGTGTTAATGACAACTACTGGTTTGGGAGGGATAGCAGCTGTGAATACTGCTTTGATGAGCCACTGCTGAAAAGAACGGATAAATACCGGACTTATAGCAAGAAACACTTTCGGATTTTCAGGGTAGGTGACAAAGAGCCACATATTTGGGAGAGCTGGTAATCTAGTCATTACTGTTACATATCTTCCCACGATAACTCCCCACTATTAAAACTTTGAAATAAAATGTTCTCTATTTTAGGAAATGGGTCCTAAAAACTCTTACATCGCATATATAGAAGATCACAGTGGGAACGGAACCTTTGTAAATAGAGAGCTTGTAGGGAGAGGAAGACGCCTTCCTTTGAGTAACAATTCTGAAATTGCACTTTCAGTGTGGAGTAACAAAGGTAAATCATTATTTCATGGTATCAGATTTTTTTTCCTCCAATATAAAAGGAAAATTGACATTGTGTTCTTTTCAGAATATGGTTTAGGTGATAAAAGTAAGTAGGTTAGCATTCAAGATTCTACTGAGTCCTAGTTGTATTTTTTATCTTTTGATCCTCGCTCGAGAATATTTTTTCCATTGATTTTCAGGTTGGGGCTGGTGGTGGGGCGGGGGAGAGAGAGAGACAGACAGACAGACAGACATCAATTGATTGCCTCCTGCATGACCCCAAATAGGGCCAGGGATCTAATCGAAACTGAGGTATGTGCCCTTGACCAGAATCAAACCTGTGACTCTTTGGTCTATGGGCCGATGCTTCTCCACTTAGCCAAACTGGCCATGGCCCTAGTTGCTTGCTTGCTTATTTATTTATTTATAGTTTTTTTTTCCCTTTATTGATTTTAGAGAGAGGAAGTGAGAGGGAGAGAGAGATAGGAACATCGATGAGAGAGAGCATCGATTGGCCCCCTCCTGCATGTCCCCCACTGGGGATTTGGCCCACAACCTGGGCATGTGTCTTGACCGGGAATTGAACTTGCGACCTCTTGGTGCGTGGGTCGATGCTCAACCACTGAGCCACACTGTCTGGACCATAGGTGCATTTAAAAAAATTTATCTTGAGTGGTGAAAGTATTGCTAGTTGCATTTATTTATTTTTTGTTTAGATAGAGTGGGAGGGAGAGAGAGAAACATCGATGTGAAAGGGACATATCGAGTGGCTGCCTTCTGTATGAACCAACCAGGGCCAGGGACAAACTGCAACTGAGGTACGTGCCCTTAGCGGGAACCGAACCTAGGTCTCTCTGGACCACAGGCTGACGCTCTAACCGCTGAGCCAAACTGGCCAGGGCGCTAGTTGCATTTTAATTTTTTTTTTTTTTTTTTTTTATCCTCACCCGAGGATATTTTTCCATTTTTTGTACAGATAGAGTGGGAGGGAGAGAGAGGAAGGGAGAGAGAGAGAGAGAAACATCGACGTGAAGGGACACATCGAGTGGCTGCCACCCGCACGACCAACCAGGGCCGGGGACAAACTGCAACCAAAGTACGTGCCCTTAGCGGGAACCGAACCTAGGTCTCTCTGGACCACAGGCTGACGCTCTAACCGCTGAGCCAAACTGGCCAGGGCGCTAGTTGCATTTTTAAATTATGAAAACGTTCTATCAAGACAGGTTTCCTGCCTGGCCAGTATGGCTCAGTGGGTTTAATATTGTCCCATGCACCAGGTGGTCGCTCGTTCGATTCTCGGTCAGGGCACATGCCTGGGTTGTGGGCTTGATTCCCCAGTAGGGACTTGTAGGAGGTAGCTGATCGATGTTTCTCTCTCTTTGATGTTTCTATCTCTCCCACTCCCTTCCTCTCTCTGAAATCAACAAAAATATAATTTAACAATAACAAAAAGGTTTCCTAAGGTTTAATTCGTTTGATTAATTTTATTTAAAATCATATGCTGTCCATTGAATTAGCATATTGCTTAAGATAGTTCATAGTTCATTGATTGATGCATTTTATATCACATCAGTCTTAGACAGCTATGAGTTGTTTTAGGCCATGAATTTATCTCCCTCCTTCTTCCCTGTCTTCATTTCTTTCAGTCATTCATTTCTACATATTTTACAAACTCCAATTATATGCCAGGCATTAGGCTATGGTTTTTTTGTGTTTTTTTTTTGTAGGAATCTTAATTTAGATCTTCCAACTTAAATACTACTTGGTTATCCTCTAAAAGTGGAGGTGTTTAGCCCTGGCCGGTTTGGCTTAGCGGTTGGAGCGTTGGCCTGCGGTACAGAGAGACCCGGGTTCGGTTCCCGCTAAGTGCACGTACCTCGGTTGCAGTTTGTCCCCGGCCCTGGTTGGTCATGCGGGTGGCAGCCACTTGATGTGTCCCTTTCACATCGATGTTTCTCTCTCTCTCTTCCTCTCTCTCCCTCCCGCTCTATCTGAACAAAAAATGGAAAAAATGTCCTCGGGTGAGGATAAAAAAAAAAAAAAAAAAAGTGGAGGTGTTTATCATCGTAATCAGGTAGCATTTTATAAGTATCTACTCATAAAACTCATGAATATCACATATAAACTGAATAATTGTCATTCAACTCAAAAAGAATAATTGACTAAACAATCTACAGAGTTAAATGTAGCTCACAGTGATTTTAAATCCTTGGGCAGCAGGAATACTTTTGTTTCTTTGAGAATAATAATTTTAGCCCTGGCTGGTTTGGCTTATCGGTTGGAGTGTCGGCCCTCAGACCAATGAGTTGCAGGTTTGATTCTGGTCAAGGGCATGTACCTCGGTTGCGGTTTGTCCCTGGCCCTGGTCAGGGTCGTACAGGAGGCAACCGGTCTATATGTCTCTCTCCTTCTCCTTCCCTCCCTCCCTCCCTCCTTCTCTCTTTCCCATCCTCCCATTCTATCGAAGATAAATGGGAAAAAATATCCTCAGGTGAGGATGTAAAAACAAAAAATAATAATAATTTTTAAAGTCCCATAGAGCCCTGGCTGGGTGGCTCAGTTGGTTGGAGCGTCATTCCACACACCAAAAGGTTGCTTGTACTTTTTTTTTTTACCCTCACTCGAGGACATTTTTACATTTATCTTCAGATAGAGCTGGAGGGAGAGAGGGAGAGAAACATTGATGTGAGAGAGACACCTTGAGTGGCTGCTCCAACCGGGGCTGGGAACAAACTGCAACCAAGGTAGGTGCGTTTAGCGGGAACCAAACCCGAGGCTGTCTGGTCCGTGGGCCGATGCTCTAACCACTGAGCCAAACCGGCCAGGGCAGGTTGCTGGTTCTAATACTACCTGGGCACATACCTAGGTTGCAGGTTCCATCCCAGGTTGAGGTGTGTGCAGGAAGCAACCAACTGATGTTTTTCGCTTTCTCTCCCTTCCTCTCTCTAAAATCAGTAAAAATATATCCTAGGGTGAGGATGGAAAAAAAAAACAACCCATAGAACTTCCCAAAACTATCTGAAAGTTGAATGATTTGGAAGGGTATGTGTGTATGTGGATTTAACACCTTGAAAATATAGATTCCCACAGGCACTGTTCCACATATTCTGATTCAGTAACTCTAGGGATTTAAAAAATCCTGCTCAGGCCCTGGCTGGTGTGGCTGTTTGTTGAGCATCATCCCATGCACTGATCATGGTTTGATCCTGGTTCAGGTCAAGGCACATGCCTGGTTGCTGGCTCAATCCCCAGTGGGGGGCTTGCAGGAGGCAGTCAATTGATCTTTTTCTCTATCAATGTTTCTCCCTCTCTTTTCCTCTCTTTCTAAAATCAATAAAAACATTAAAAATTTTTTTTTGCCCAGGTGATTCTCATGCAGTCAGCCTTCAGACTGGCATCTGAGAGCTGTGGCTACACTTGGCATCCTAAAATGCATTTTATGATTTTAGTTTTTCTTGTTTGTGACTATTTTGCTTACTCTCTGCTATAGTCAGGGCAGCTGCATAGGGTTTTGCTGTTTGAAAGCACCTGGTGGAGGAGCAACTGGGCACTGAAAGTTGACCTTTCCTCCACTTGACAAGCTGTGTGCCACCTTTTTCGCTTGGTCCGTCCATGGGGCACCTTTTCTAATTTGAACAAAGGTGTTATGAAGGCTAAAATTGGGCCCCAATTGAAATATATCAAACTAGTACTCTGCAGACTGTTAATTTTTATTGACATTTTATTAGGCATTTGCTGATATTTGTACTTTCACATGAAATTCTACATTTTTTTGAAAAGGTGAAATATCTGGTCACACCGAGCCTAATCCCACACTGAGTAGAGGCTGCCTTATTTATTTATTTATTTATTTTTTTCTTTATTGATTTTAGAGAGAGCGGAAGTGAGAGGGAGCTAGAAATATCAATTGGCTGCGTCCTGCATTCCCCCACTGGGGATCAGGCCCACAACCTCGGCATTTGTCCTGACCAGGAATTGAACCGGTGACCTCTTGGTGCGTGGCTTGACGCTCAACCACTGAGTCATATTGGCCGGGCTTTTTTTTTTTAATCCTCACGTGAGGATATTTTTCCATTTATCTTCAGATAGAGTGGGAAGGAGGGAGAGAGAGAGAAACACTGGCATGAGAGGACACATCGACTAGTTGCCCAGTGCACGACTTTGACCAGGGCTGGGGACGAACTGCACCTGAGGTACATGTCCTTGACCGGAGTAGAACCTGGGACTCATTGGTGTGCAGGTCGATGTTCTAACTGCTGAGGCAAACCGGCCAGGGCAAGGCTGCCTCTTTTAGATGAACAATGTGTTTTCATGTTCAAGTCCCCTCTTTTCCCCATTGTCTTAAAATGCTCAATGCAGCCTGACCTGGGTGTATGACCTTCCAGGCTAGTGTGGGCAACTGGATTTGTAGCCCCTGAAGTAGACTTAGACATTTGTGAGAAACAATCTCCAGAGCCCCTCAAATACCCAGATTCTCAGATGCTACTGGGACATACAGGCGCGTAAATATCCGTAAACAAAGAGGAACAGTTGTATCCTGGGTGGCCAGCAGATCTCATTCACAAAGCAATTGTCTGCCTTATGTGGACCAGCCTGGAATGAAGCACACTGAGGTGGCTCAGATTTGTGTCAAAGACTGGATCTCTAGGTGACTCCAGGGGCGTCAAAACCCATCATCTCAAATACAAGAAACACAAGAATCCTAATAAATTTCACTCTTTCAAGACACTATAGGCAGTTGCAAATTTGTCATTGATGACTTCATAGAATTGAAATATTTGATAACTGATTGCAGACTTGGCCCACATGGATGGCTAAATTATTAAATGAATAGAGTGTCTTTTTATCCCCCGCCCCAAATGTAGTATGAATAATGGAGAAATAAAGGAGAATTTTGGGGAAATTGTTATTTATTTAACTTTACAAGTAGGTTCAAGATGGTTTGCACAATAAAATACCAGACATGTAAAGGTATGAATGATTAAGAGAAGATAATTCTAGTATGATCACCTATGGTCTAATTTTTGTTTTATCCTCACCTGAGGACTTTTTTCCATTTTTGTTCAGATGGAGTGGGAGGGAGAGAGAGGAAGAGAGAGAGAACATTGATGTGAGAGAGACACATCGACCGGTTGCCTCCTGCACCACCCCAACCAGGGCTGGGAACCAAACCACAACCGAGGTATGTGCCCTTGACTGAAATCGAACCCATGACTCTTTGGTCCTTGGGCTGACGCTCTAACTATTGAGCCAAACACGGCCAGAACAGGACTAGTGTTTATGTGTGGATTTTATGCGCTACAGTGAGAATGACACCTATGTATTTCCATTGAAAAATGACATTTGTCATTATTTTCCATGGGTTTCATGATGTTTTAGCTTAGCTAAATAATTTCTTTAAGGTTAGATATAAATGTAATTTAAACAATTGTTTTATGTTTCATATGTTTATTAAAACTTAGGACCATTTTTCTTCTTTTTATTTAATGGATTAATGAGACCTATTTCTGCCCTTTTTTCCTTAGTTTTTGTATTTTTCGATCTGACTGTAGATGATCAATCAGTTTATCCCAAGGAATTAAGAGACGAATACATCATGTCAAAAACTCTTGGAAGGTAAATTTTTTTCTTATGGAAATTGTACTTAATTTTTTTCTAAACATTTGTTATTGCTTAGTTTTTTGTTCCTGGTATTGTTTTATTAGTATCTTTTTTTTTTTTTACATGCTTAGAGAGAGGAAGGGCAAGAGAGAGAGAGAGAGAGAGAAACATCGATGTGAGAGAGAAACATTGATCAGTTTCCTTCTGTACAATCCTCACTGGGAATCAGACTCCCAACCTAAGTATGTACCCTGACTAGGAATTGAACTGGCAACCTTTTGGTGATGCTCAACTAACTAAACTACTCTGACTGGGCTTGTTCTTGGTTTTATAACATTCATTATCTGTACATATTTTTAGGTTACTGATTTATAATAGGTGTGTTAATGATTTACTTAATAATGATCAATTGAAATGAATAGTTTTTCCTTACAAATTTTATGTGTAATAACTTAAAAAAAATTTTTTTTTTCCTTCATTGATTTTAGAGAAAGAGAGAGGAAGGGACAGGGAGAGAGAGAGAGATAGAAACATCGATGAGAGAGAACATTGATTGGCTGCCTCTTACATGCCCCACACTGGGGATCAAGCCCACAACCTGGGCATTTGTCCTGACTGGGAATCAAACCGGCGACCTCTTGGTGCATGGGTTGATGCTCAACCACTGAGCCACACTGGCCAGACTGTAATAACTTTTTAAAAGCAGTTTTAGTGAAATATAATTCACATACCATACAGTTCATACATTTAAAGTACAGTTCAGTGATTTTTAAATATATTCACAGAGTTTTGAAACTTTTAGCATAATCAGTTTTAGAACATTTTTATTACCTTCCAAAAAGAAATGTTTACTGCATTTCTGCCCTCTCAGGATTTGTGACATCTTGGGACGTGAAATGAAACTGACCATTGTACAGGGCAAAATATTTGGCCTCAGGACCCCATACAGTCTTACAGAATTATTGAGGGTCCCAAAGAACTTTTTTTTTAATCCTCACCCAAGGACATTTTTTCATTTTTTGTTCAGATGGAGTGGGAGGGAGAGAGGAAGAGAGAGAGAAAGAAACATTGATGTGAAAAGGACACATCGATCGGCTGCCACCCGCACGACCCAACCAGGGCTGGGGACAAACCGCAACTGAGACACATGCCCTCAGCGGGAACCGAACCCGGGTCTCCGGACTGCAGGCCAACGCTCTAACTGCTGAGCCAAACCGGCCAGGGCCCAAAGAGCTCTTGGTCATGAGGCTTAAATGTTAGTATTTATTCTTTTTTTGGGGGTACATGCCCCTAGCAGGAACCAAACCCAGTACTCTCTGGTCTGCAGGCCGACGCTCAACCACTGAGCCAAACTGGCCAGGGCAAGTATTTATTCTTTAAAAAAATAAAATAATTTATGTTAAGTAGCATTTTTTTTTTATCCTCACTCGAGGATACTTTTGCATTTATCTTCAGATAGAGTGGGAGGGAGAGAGGGAGAGACATCGATGTGTGAGAGAGACACATTGAGTTGTTGCCACCACACGACCCCAAATGGGGCTGGGGACAAATAGCAACTGAGGTACGTGCCCTTAGCGGGAACTGAACCGGGACTCTCTGGCCCGCAGGCTGACGCTCTAACCACTGTGCAAACTGTCCAGGGCGCATTTTTTAATAGAAAATAATTTTCAAATATATTAATGAGAAGAAGGGCATTGTTTCACATTTCTACAAATCTTTTTGCTGTCTAGCATACTAGAAGATGGCTAGATCCTGACATTCTTTTCTTTCTTTGGTCTATTTTAATATGTGCCATGTAGCCTCTGGAATATTCTACATACTTATGAGAGAATGAGAATGAAAAAGGCAAATAATGTCTTAGTATTGTTCTGAAACTATTTTCACTTTGTGGACATCTAGAAAGGGTTTTATGGTCCTTTAGGGGTTCCCTGATCATACTTTGAGAACCATTTCCTTAGGGAAGGTATTCATGACACCTTTACCACATTCCACAATGTTCTTTACCCTACCATTTCTTCCTCACTCCCAGAGACCTATCTGTTGATATTTTTATAAACATGAAAATAGAAAATAATAGAAATAATCATCCATATTCCTGCCACATAGAATCAAGCACAATATACTCTATACGACCATCTTTGGGAGATATTTTAGTTATGAATATTAAATTTAGTAACTCGTTGTTTCATATTTGCATTGGCTGCTTGGAAGCTCATAGCCAAATTTGTATCTGCCCTTAAGAAATATGTGGGACTCTTGCCTGGCTGGTGTGGCTCAGTGGTTGAACGTCCACCCATGCACCAAGAGGTCGCCGGGTTGATTCCTGGCCAGGGCATATGCCCAGTTTGTGGGCCTGATCCCCATTGGGGGGTGTGCAGGAGGCAGCTGATCCATATTCTCTCTCGTTGATGTTTCTATCTCTCACTCCCTTCCTGTCAAATCAATACAGAAAAAATTTATTAAAAAAAAGAAATATATGTGGGACTCTTATTTTTTCTGAGAGAGTATTCAGTACAAATCCTCTAACTCATAGCAGGTGACAGAAACTTAAATGAGTCAATTAAGAAGTTTATTGGCTCTGTGGCCCTGGCCAGGTAACTCAGTTGGTTAGTGTGTTGTCCTGGTATACCAAGGTTGTGGGTTCGATCCCAGGTCAGGGTACATGCAAGAATCAACCAATGAATGCATAAATAAGTGGAACAACTAATCGAGGTTTCTCTCTTTTCCCGCCTTCCTGTCTCACTTAAAAAAAAAAAGAAAAGAAAAAATCTATTGGCTCTTGTACTCCTGTAACTGGGAAATACAGGGGCACAGCTGACTTCAGGCATGGCTAGACCAGGAGGCCTTTGAGCTGTATTTCATTTTTTTTTTTTAAATTGGTTTTTATTGATTTTTTTTTTTTTTTGAGAGAGAGATCAAAACATCAATGTGAGAGAGATACGTTGATCAGCTGCCTCCTGCCTCCTCCTTTGAGTTCTAATTATCTATGTATTTTTGTCTGTGGCTAGATCTAAGGGCTCCCAACGACATTGCCTGGACTCTGGCTTCATCTCTTCACTCAGCTACTCTTTACTGAGTATAGAATCACTCTGCGGCGGGTAGGATGGCTTCCGGGAGCTCCACATTCATGTTTTCTTTCTTCTAGAAACTGCAGTAGAGGGAACTGTTTTCCCAATATCAGCATTTGATTCCAGGGAAAATCCTGATTGGCTTAATTTTACGTGTACACCCCATCTTCTAGCAGTGGGTGTTGTACTGTTATAGACGTTGCACTGGATTCAGGGAAGAATTCTCAGACAAAGGTGACTATTATCAGCAGAAGTGAAATTGGAAAATGTTTAATAGTTACATGGACTATTCTCACTCAATCTATAAAAATTAACTCAAAATGAAACAAAAAAGCTAAATGTAAGAGGTAAAACTATTAAACTAAGAAGAAAATATAGGGACAGCTCTTCATGGCCTTTGATTTTGCATTGGTTACTTAAATGTGGCACCAAAAGCACGAGGAACAACAGAAAAAAGTAGATAAATTAGACTTCATCAAATTTAAAAACGTTTTGTGCATCAAAAGACATTGTCAGGAGAGTGAAACACAGCTCACAGAATGAGAGAAAATATTTACAAATATTTCATGAGGATCTTGTATCCAGAATAGAGAACTCTTAACAAGTCAATAACAGAAAGATAGCCCAATGTAAAAATGGGCAAAGGATTTAAATGACATTTCTCCAGAGAGGATATACAAATTAGCAAAAACCACATGAAAAAATGTTTGGCATCATTAGTCATTAGGGAAATGCAAACCAAAACCACAATGAGATACCACTTCACACCCACTAGGATGGTCATAATAAAGAAACAGAAAATAATAAGTGTTTGTGAGGATGTGGTGAAATTGGAACCCCCATACACTGCTGGTGGGAATGTAAAATGGTCCAGCCACTGGAGGAAATAATTTGGTGGTTTCTCAAAATGTTAAACAGAATTACCATATGACCCAGCAATTCCCTTTGTAGGTATATCCCCCCTCAATGGAAAACAGGTGTTCAAACAAAAACATGTGTGTGAATGTTTATTTCAGCTTTATTCACAATAGCCAAAAGGTTGGAACAACCCAAGTATCCATCAGTGAGTGGATAAACAAATGTGATGTATTGATACAATGAAATATTACTTAGCTATAAAAAGGAGCAAAATAGTGATATATGCCACAGCATGGTTGAATCTTGAAAACATGCTAGGTGAAAGAAGCCAGACACATAAAGCTACATATTGTATGATTCTATCGTCAATGAGATATTCAAAATAGGCAAATTCATAGACAAAAGACAGATTAGTGGTTGCCAGGGTTTACCATCTGGGTGACAGTAAGACAAGTCTGTATGGACAAGTGAATACTTAGTGTGTATGGGGTTTCCATTTGGGCTGATGAAAATGTGGAACTAGATAGGGGTGATGGTTGTACACATTATAGATGTATTTAATGTCATGGACTTGTACACTTTAAAGTGATTACAATGGGCCCTGGCCAGTTTGGCTCAGCAGTTAGAGCATTGATTGGCCCACGGAACAGAGAGTCCCAGGTTGGGTTCCTGCTAAGGGCATGTACCTCGGTTGCAGTTTGTCCTCGGCCCCTGTTGGGGTCGTGTGGTTGGCAACCACTCAATGTGTCTCTCACATTGATGTTTCTCTCTCACATCAATGTTTCTCTCCACATCGATGTTTCTTTCTCTTCCTCCCTCTCTGCCTCCCGCTCTGTCTGAAGATAAATGCAAAAAATGTCCTCCGGTGAGGATTAAAAAAAAGATTACAGTGGTAAATTTTATGTTATGTGTGTACACAATACACAACACACAATAAAAAAGATGCGTTGGCAAAACCTTTCATGCCACCTCGAAACCCATAATAGTTATAATGGCCTACTTTGGGCTGACCCAAGCTGTCGAGAACAGAGCCTACATAGGGCTAACTATGTACTGGGTGGTATCCTAGGTTAGCATTTCTCCTCTATTATAATATCTTAATTAATTGCAAATCTTTGAGAGCTTGCTGCAAGCAGGTTTATTGTGTGATTCTTTTGGTTTCTTAAGTATTGTGATTTTATTTAAGATGCAATTCATTGCATTAACTGCTTATGCACATTCTTTGAAGACAGAAAATAAAGAAATGCATCAACGAAAGTAATTTGCAGATGTTGTTTGCTGTAACTTGTTTCAGGCACTCATTTTTGACTAGGACTCTGTTTTGTTTGATTCTCTGATCACTGGGATAAGTCATTTCTTTCCTATTAGTGTCTTTATGAGAAGTTTACCATCTGGGTGACAGTAAGACAAGTCTGTATCAGTTCAAAAAGTGGAATTTGGAGCTGACCTGGTATTGTTGGATGGTCCATATTCACTTATACCCTCGGCCGATTAGGTTGATGAGGCTCACTATGTTCTCTATAAACAGTGACAATGGAAGGATTGTATATAGAGTGTTTTGTGTGTGTGTGTGTGAGTGAGAGTTTGTGATCCTTGAGCAGGGGCTATGCTAACATTCTTTGCATTGTTCCAATTTTTTAGTATATGTGTGCTGCTGAGGCGAGCACTGGACTGCCTTTAACTTGTAATAGTTGAGGCCAACTCGGGAGTGGTGGGTCTCCTGATTAAAAACATTCTGACAATCATTTTCTGTGTTTTTCCCTGTAGTGGTGCCTGTGGTGAGGTGAAGCTAGCTTTTGAGAGGAAAACATGTAAGAAAGTAGCCATAAAGATCATCAGCAAAAGGAAGTTTGCTATTGGCTCTGCAAAAGAGGCAGTAAGTACCTGTTTTTGGCTATTCAGCTGTTCTCTTAACACTTCTTAATTTCCCAGAATAATTTTGGAGTGGTGATTTTCAATGTCAGGAAGAATTTACTGCTCAGATATATGAATATGTATCAGAGAACATTGAAAAAATTTTAATGTATTTAGCGAATCTAGAAATTTATATACAATTTGGTTCCAGAAATATTTGGTTGTACATAATAATGTACTAGAAGGAAGTTGTGTTTTTTTTTTTTTTCCAAGTTGTCACAAGACTGTTTTTACAATAAATGAAAGGAAATTAGGGGAAAAAAATCCAGCCATATTTCACCACTGTAACCCCACAGCTGTTTTCAGTTTTCTTTTTCCTTTCTAGTCTTTGTTCATATGAATTCGTGTTTTTAGATGGTTGAAATCACATTGTATATACAATTTTGTATTCTGCTTTTCCATATAAGCATTAATGCATAAACTTTTCCCTAATATATCCTTTTTGATGGTCAAGTCTCTATTTCAATGACTTTATCATAAATTATTTAACCATTTCTCTGGTTGATCATTTAGATAATTTCTAATTCTTTGCTCTTCCTGGTAATGTGACAATGAACATCTCAGTGTTTATAGATTTTTAAAATATTAATTAAATTATTTTAATAGTCTCTTTATATACTAGCCATTCTTTTTATTACATTTTATGTAATACACTTTTACTGTGTGAGTGAAGTGGCCAAATGTATTGGTCTTTCAACACATGACTCAACATAGTAATGTAAAATGTGACCTGCAATCATGTTTTCTTTGCGGCCAGCTGTTTCTGGCTATTATACTTTAACATTCTTTAAAGATCAATTTTTTCCCCCCAAGACAATGCCATTCTCACATGGCAAGAGGAATTTCCTTTCTGTGTTCATTTTGTTATAGATCTTTTTCCCTGTGATTCTGGATTTGTTTCCCATTTAGGGGAGAAAGAAAATACCTACCAGATTCTTAATGACTTGCAGCAAAATTTGAGTTCTTAATTTCATCTTTCAGATCGTTTTGAACTCTTTTAGACCTCTATCATCAGAGCACACCCTGACTTAGTAATGAGTTTAACGGCTTACAGGAAGAGGCAGGCTTTCAAAATTAAACATCTGGGTTTCTTAGCTGAAGTCCATTTTACATAAATATGTAATCCTATATCCTCTGTGCTTGTGGAGGGTGTAGCCCATGAGGCTGAGTAACACGATTCATCCTTTTGGAATTGTAACGGAGAACAACTTCAGTACCCTGAAGTTTCCTCTAGTTAAGAGTCTCAATAAATATGTCAGCCTGCAGTTGAAATTGAAACCTGTGTCTGCTCTATTAGATATTTGACTTGACTGTTTCTTCTAATAGTTTACTTAAATAACCCTTTTGTCAGTGGTTTTGTTTGTTTTATTATTTTTCTGACTACAAACAATTCCACAGCTAACGAGACAGGCAGAATTTGCCAGGTAAGTATGAGAATGGTGGAAACACTTGTTTTTGGCTGTGGGAACTGGAGCAAGTGGCTTCCTCTCTGAGCCTTAGTTGCTCCATCTGTAAAATGGGGATATATAAAACCTAGTTCACTTGGAAATTATAAAACTTATGTGAGATGATCCTTTCAAATAAAGAGATTAGCATAAGCCTGGTCATTTATTGAATGCTTCCTATTTGTTGTGCACTTTATGGACTGATTTTAAGTGAGCTGTTTGAATCATTGACCCCTAGACCTTGAGCAGGGTTTGGAATTCAGGCAGCCATTACTCAGAAGTTTAACTGTAAACATTTTCTATATATTGACTACTATTACTAATAAACTCTAATGTTATTTTATTTATCAAAGGATCCCGGTCTCAATGTTGAAACAGAAATAGAAATTTTGAAAAAATTAAATCATGTAAGTATTGCTGTAAAATATGGTTCATACTTAAAATCACTTATCTCAAAATAGGGGAAGAGTGCAAAGCAATTCAGTGTAATATAGCTATTATTAACCTGGGTTCCTTAATTGTGTGTAGGTGGGTATATATATGCATGGGTATGTGTGTTTAGTTGTCATTTAGCTAGAAAGAGTTTTACCCTGAACTTTTGAAAGGATAGGATAATATTGTGGAAAGATTTAATGATTAAATACTTATGTGATATTTGTACTGATTTAACTCTTGAACTGAAGACATAGTGAATCTAAATTTTACATCTCATGCCTGGCTGGTGTGGCTCAGTGGTTGAGCATCGACCCATGCACCAAGATGTCGCCAGTTCGATTCCTCATTAGGGCACATGCCCAGGTTGTAGCATGCAGGAGGCAAATCCCCAAGTGGGGGGGTGGCATGCAGGAGGTGGTCAGTTGATGTTCTCTCTCATCAGTATTTCTATCTCTCTCCTCCCTTCCTCTCTCTCTAAAATCAATAAAGAAAAACAAATAAAAAATAAATAAATGTTATATCTCATAGAGACTTTATCAACTGATTATGTTTGGGAAGACCATGCTAATTCAGTACATTTGGTTTGATTATACCTGAAGTGCCCCCCCCCCCCCATTTTTATTAAGTATACCTATAGTTTTAACATCTCTAAATACCTTTTGATGGTGCTGATTTCCATTGACCTCAGCTGGAGTAAATCTGATAAATCTAAGGGTATCCAATATGTATGACAACAACTTGTCCTTAAATCTGATTAAATGATGTCAGTGTTACTAGTTCCTATAATTCTTTTGTGCACGGATGACCTTGTTACAATGAAAGTGTCTAATTTTATTTTTTTTTTAAGTAGAATTTAATGGGGTGATATTGGTTAATAAAATTATATAGGTTTCAGGTGTACAGTTCTATGATACATCATCTGTATATTGTAATGTGTGTTCACCACCCAGGTTAGTCTCCTTCCATAACCTTTTAAAAAAAAATAATCCTCACCTGAGAATATTTTTTCATTTTTCTTCAGATAGAGTCAGGGTAGAGGGGGAGAGACATCAATGTGAAAGAGACACATTGATTGGTTGCCTCCTGCATGACCCTGACCAGGGGACCAAACTGCAACTGAGGTACATGCTTCGATCGGAATTGAGCCTGCAACTCTTTGGTCTGAGCTGTCGCTCTAATCTCTGAGCCAAACCGGCCAGACCACCTTCCATCACCTTTTATTCCCCCTGTAACCTCTTCTACCATCCCTCCAACCCACCCCCTGGAAAGTATCTAACTGTAAAGATGTGAGAAGAGAACATTACAGTTATGGACCAATCCCATCTTTCTTTTTATTGTTCTTTATATTTCTTCATTAATTCATGAGCCTCTAAGAAGTCATGAGCTAGGTGGGCACTAGAGTTAAACTTGAAACAAGGCCTCCAGTCTGTTCAGCTAAGGATGATCTTATTTTAGTTCTTAACCTCCAGACAACAAAAATATTTCTCCCTTCTCTCACCTCCTCAAATCCCCCAAACTAATAGAAACTAAGGACAAAATCACTGCCATCGATGCAACAATCCCGCTTGTTCCTTGAGAACTCATGAGTGGATCTGAAAACCCATGGAAGTCTGAGTGGCTGACCCTCCTGCTTGGCTTTCTTCTAATTCCTTTGCAACTTCTGATTCTTCTCTGAACTCCCCTCCCTTTTCCAAGGCGCCTGGAATCTCTTGTTAAAGAAGGAGCCCTCTGATTTTCTAGGGTGGGGTTGCTTCTTACATACCCCTAAGATAAACACTCTGAATGCTCAGAGAATTTTCTGATGTTGAAGGATACCCAAATGTACCATTTATATAAATCCAATGTCCATTGCACTTGAGAGGAATTTAGAACCCTAAAAACATCCTTCGAGATATTACTTGGCAATGGACAAGGGAATGTGTAAGCCCTTGGGAATTAAATATGGACTCATGAGTTCATTTTGGGATCAATGGGTAGGGCCTGATAGCCCAGGAGAGCCTGGCCTTTGGAGTCAAACACTGATTCAATCGTCACTGTGTCAGGCTGTCTTCTAGTGGTGAGCACACATGGACTCAGCCATCCCTCCCCTCCTGTGGCTTCAGTCTGGTGGAGAGACAGACCTGGGATCCCATCTCATCTCTGCCACCTGGCTCTGAGGTCATTTCACTTTTCAGAGCCTCTGTTTCCTCATTTGTACAATGTAGGCAATAAGTATCCTTACTTCAAAGGTCAGTGTGAGAACTAATTATGAGATGTGGTTGTAAAGCTTTCAGCACAGGGAACGCACTTGGGAAATGACAGATACCTGTAATTCCTTAAAATTTTCTATGACCTAAATGGAGATCTCGGTTAGTAGCCTCTGGTTCCTGAGATACACTTTCAGCTGTGATAGCTCCAGCCAGTGACCCTGGGGACTGCTTTATGCTTTATTAGCTCCCAGCTACACCCATTCCCAGGTGGGCACTGCCAATTATGAAGCCAAGCAGAACCAAGAAGTTCTCATTTTTTCCTATAATATCGCCCTTTTCCATATGTCTTCTGTTTTGTTTTTTTTTCTTTATTGATTTTAGAGAGAGAGAAAGGGAGAGGTGGGGGAAAGAGAGAGAAACATCGATGAGAGAGAACATTGATTGCCCGCTTCCTGCATGCCCCTCACTGGGGATTGGCCCACAACCCAGGCATGTGCCCTGACCTGGAATTGAACCAGCGACCTCTTGGTGCATGGGTTGATGTTCAACCACTGAGCCACACTGGCTGGGCTGCTTTTCTTTTTTCTTGATTTTTGAAGGGAGAGAGAGAGAGAGAGAGAGAGAGAGAGACATTGATTGGCTGCCATCTTGCACACCTCCTACTGGGGATGGAGCCTGCAACCTGGGCATGTGCCTTGACCAGGAATTGAACTGGTGACCTTCTTGTGCATGGGACAGCGTTCAACCAATTGAGCCACACTGGCTAGACTTTCCTTTTTATTTTATCAAGATGCCACATGTATATAACCTAAAGAGTGCTAAAGGTTTATTACGCAAACAGCAGCTCCTCATCCCTCCTAACCTCCCTCTCTGCAAACATTTTAAAACTCTTAACTTTTTAAGAAAAATAATTTACCTCCATATTTCTACATAATATACATAAACTACTGTCTTGGTTTATTTTAATAGCTTGTTGCTTTCCTGTTTTTGTTATATGAGAATTTTAGCTCCCCTTTCTAGTCCTCTTAATAATACTGCAGTCCATATTCAGTGTTTTTATAATTGTGACAGTAACAAATGTTCATGCAGAGCTGAGTACATTGGGATCATCAGTAAGGAGTGGTGGAACTGCTTGCTGTCAGCCTGTCGTCCATGGCCATTTGTTCTATGACCAAACTAGCTGGCAGAGTCTTCCAGCAGTGGGTAGTGTATCTGATATTGATGTTGGTATTAATCAGGCAGCCTGTGAGTGTCTCCTTTGTGCCAACTGCTATGCTGTGTTGGCCCTAGACAGATAAATAAGACTTAACTCACCCATGCAGTGCCCAGGGAAAGGAGACCTGTCTGTGCTTGGTGTTAGTTTCCTTTCTCTGCCCTCCTGGAGTTCACAGCCTGGTGGGGGGACGCAGGTACTGAATATGCAGTGTGGGCCAGCACAGATTCTAACCACTGCTGGATGTGTGGATACATTGTGAGGGGGACATTTTATCTGGGGCCTGATGCCTTAGGCCAAGTGTGTCTTGAGGGTTAGATCACCAGGCAGGAGAGTTGCACAAGCAAAGATGTGACAGCGGGAAATAGCACAGGGAGCCTGAGACAACCAGCGAGTTTTGTAGCCTGGATAGAAAGATGTGTGAGACCTGGAGCAGGAGATGAGGCTAGGTGGTGGGTGGGATTTTAACCTCTAGGCAGCACAGAGCCAAAGATTTTCTTCTTGTCTTCCTTCCTTTCTGCCTTTCCACTTCCTCTCTTTCCTTCCTCTGGATATTCTCCTCCCTCCCTTTAAATATTTTAAAATTAGCCCTGGCCGGTTTGGCTCAGCGGTTAGAGCGTCGGCCTGCGGTCCTGGGAGACCTGGGTTCGGTTCCCGCTAAGGGCGCGTACCTCGGTTGCAGTTTGTCCTCGGCCCTGGTCGGTCGTGCGGGTGGCAGCCACTCGATGTGTCCCTTCACGTCGATGTTTCTCTCTCTCTCTCTGTTCCTCTCTCTCCCTCCCACTCTACCTGAACAAAAAAATGGGAAAATGTCCTCGGGTGAGGATTAAAAATAAATAAATAAATAAATAGATATTTTAAAATTATGTAATATTTGACCCATGTAAAGTAATAAACGTAAATTATAAAGCAAACCAGTAAGATGAACACCTTTGAAGTCTTCATTCAACTTAAGAATGAAAACTTGACCATACTGACGAAGCACTTCATAGTCTTTGAAGTCTCTCATGACTTGCCTTTTCCACTCATCATTATGTTTCCAAGTTCCACTGAGTTGGGAGAAGCAGTGTGGCTCACTGCTGTATAATAGTTCACCAGGGGAAGGTACCACTTGGGTTTTAATCAGAGTGATGGATATGGTGAAATTTCATTGTAGGAAGATCAGTCTGGTGTTTGCTACTCTTTAATCTAAAATCTAAAAATTTTATAGCTCTTTCCTTTAATTCTGATATAATCATAGTCATCCTCCTTGCTGGGGCATGGGGACGTGTCTCTGATAGTGCTGCTTTAATTCTCACCCAGGGATATTTTAGCATTGATATTTATTTTTTAAATGCATTTTTTTTTTTTTTTTTTAATCCTCACCCGAGGACACTTTTCCATTTTTTGTTCAGATAGAGTGGGAGGGAGAGAGAGGAAGAGAGAGAGAAACATCGCTGTGAAAGGGACACATCGAGTGGCTACCACCCGCATGACCAACCAGGGCCGGGGACAAACTGCAACCGAGGTCCATGCCCTAAGCGGGAACTGAACCCGGGTCTCCCCAGACCGCAGGCCAACACTCTAACTGCTGAGCGAAACCGGCCAGGGCTTAAATGCATTTTTATTGATTTTTTTTTCTTTATTGATTTTAGAGAGAGAGGAAGTTGGAAGGAGAAAGAGATAGAAACATCGATGAGAGAGAACATCGATTGGCCGCCTCCTGCATTCTCCCCACTAGGGATTTGGCCCACAACCTTGGCATGTGTCCTGACTGGGAATCGAATCAGCGACCTCTTGGTCCATGGGTCGATACTCAACCACTGAGCCACACCAGCTGGACTGCATTGATTTTTAGATAGAGTGGGAGGGAGGTATAGAGAGAAACATCGTTGTGTGAGAGACATATTGATTGGTTGCCTCCTGCACAACCGGGGCTGGGGATTGAACCTGCAGCCCAAGTTCGTGCTCTTGATGGGGAATTAAACCCGCAACCCTTTGGTCTATGGGCCAGTGCTCTAACCACTAAGCAAACCAGCCAGGGCAGATGCTACATCTTTTACTTACCTGACCGTTGAGCTTTACTCTCTGTCTTTTTTTTTCTGTAAAAACAAAAGATTTCCTGGCCAGTTTGGCTCAGCAGTTAGAGCGTCGGCCTGCGGTCCGGAGAGACCCAGGTTCGGTTCCCGCTAAGGGCACGTACCTCGGTTGCAGTTTGTCCCCGGCCCTGGTTGGTCGTGCGGGTGGCAGCCACTCGATATGTCCCTTCACATCGATGTTTCTCTCTCTCTCCCTTCCTCTCTCTCCCTCCCACTCTATCTGTACAAAAAATGGAAAAATATCCTCGGGTGAGGATAAAAACAACAAAAAAAACAAAAAAAAACAAAAGATTTGTTTTCTAAGCATAAAATTATATTGTTAATTATGCATTTAAAATATATAATACCGTTCTTTCCTGTTCTATGCATCCTGCATTGATCAGCGTCAAAAACTATGAGCCATTGGTGTGCTTTAGAGTTCTTAGGAAACTGGAATTTCCCTTGAAAAATGGTAAGATCATGTCACCTGAGGTTCCCATTCCTCTGTGGTTCCAGGTGGACAGAGCTGAATGGCCTGCCGTCTGGCAGCATGGCTGGCCCTGCCAGGCCTGCTTTCCACTCGTGCTGCTTGTTAGGCTCCTCCAGGTCATGAGGTGTCCTTGAGCACCTGTGCTCTGGGACAGTGAGGAGGAGCGCAGAGGAAACCCACCTTCCTTCCTTGGTGCCATCCATAAGTGTGAAATGTGAACCAGTCCCTCACCAACTTGGTTGGGTGGTGAATTTTTCCTTTTACGTTCTCACGGAGGAGCCAGATTAATTCTGTTCTGCCTTCTCCCCTGTGTGAACTCCAAAGTGTCCCAAGATCACCAAATGCCTGGTCCTGGCCTCCCTGACCCTCGGCAGATGTTGCCAGTCTTGCTCTTGTAGTTTTCCTCTTGGGAGCCTCTCACTACATTTCCTCTTTTCCCTCTTTCAGCCGTGTATAATCAAGATTAAAGACTTTTTTGATGCCGAAGATTTTTACATTGTTTTGGAATTGTAAGTAGTAAGTTTCTTATTTGTTTCCATTTAAATGCTTATTTAAAGACTAATGCTGGCTTGCATTTCTCGTCCTGGGGACCCTCAATGCGTGCATGTGGTTGTGGGGTACACAAAGTATGTGAGGGACATAGTATCATATCTAAAACTCCTCCAGTGTTTCCAGAGGCACATGGCTTAGAGGTTCCAGGCCCTGGATCTGAGGCCTGGGTTTGAATCCCACTTTGTAGGTCAACTATGCCCATGGTTTGTTGACTTTACTTTTCAGAGTCATTTTCCTGGTGTTAAATGAGGTAATAATGATAATCCATTCACAGAGTTGTAAGGATTAAATTCTATGAAAGGTGGAAAGCCCCCAGCAGAGTACTTGGCACACATAGGTACTCAACCACAGGTGAATATTATTACTCTGAAATACCTGCCTTGGTGGATATTTTTACATTTATCTTCACATAGAGTGGGAGGGAGGGAGGGAGGGAGGGAGAGAGAGAGAGAGAGAGAGAAACATCTATGTGAGAGAGACACATTGATTGGTTGTCACCTGCACAACCCCAACCAGGGCTGGGGACGAACCGCAATCAAGGTACTTGCCCTTGGCCAGAATCAAACCCGGGACTCTTTGGTCCACAGGCCGACACTCTGACCACTGAACCAAACCAGCCAGGGCAAGGTACTGGTTTATTTCAGTGGCTAGGGAGTCCTGTTTTTTTGTTTTTTTTTCTTTTTTTCTTTTTTTTTATCCTCACCTGAGCCAAACCTGCCAGGGCTGGAGTCCTGTTTTATTTGGTGTGACCAAAATAATTTTCTGTCTCATTTTTGGAAGAGGCCTGTGTGATGTCCATTTCTGCATAAATATGTAGTGTTTCTGGGAGTGGCTGTTGGGGCAGACAGGCAAGGTTTTGCTCCTGAATGGCAAACACTGGCTATGCAGGTTGTCTGTTGAGATGGTACAGTAAACAACAGCATTACGAGAGACTGGACAGCCCTTGTGTTGCTTGAGGGAGTATCTGTTGGTATTAAAAAGGGAGAATGTTATCTGACTGAGTCTAGTTAAAACAATTTAATACTAGTAATAATAATTCAATATGGTAACTGATACTAACTAAGCACTTAATATGAGCCAAGTACTGCTCTAAGCACTTTACATGGATTGAGTCATTTAACCTTCTTAAGTCATTCAGGTTACTTATAACTTACTGTTGGATTACTACTTTTAGCCCCACTTCACGGCACAGGAGACTGAAGTAAAGAGGGATTGAATAACCTTACCAAGCATCTATCTACACTGTGCCATCTACATCAATTATATCTTAATTTTTTACAACAGTTGCCTGGCCGGTATGGCTCAGTGGTTGAGCGTCGACCCATGCACCAGGAAGTTGCCGGTTCGATTCCTGGTTGGGGCACATGCTCAGGTTGTGGGTCAAATCCCCAGTGGGGGGCATGCAGAAGGCAGCCAGTTGATGTTCTCTCTCATCGATGTTTCTCTCTCTCTCTCTAAAAATCAATAAAGAAAAAAAACTTTTAAAAAAAGAACAAAACACAGTAGGTGGATCATTCTTATGTTTTCAAGAGGCAGAAACAAGATCAGAGAGATTCCATAACTTGCACAAAGCTCTCCAGCTGGGAAGTTGTGGCATGGGGTTTAGACCCCTGATTATCTGATTGTATACTCCTGCATGCTGCTCTATACCAGTCTCAGAATCCCCTGGGGTGTGTGATTAAAATACAGATTCTTGGGCCCTTCTTCTGACCCATCTAATCAGATTTTTTAAAACTCTCCAAGTTTTTTTAATGCCCACTACTTCTTCTTTCCATCTTTCCTTGTTTCTTAGTTTCCTTTGGGGACATTTTCATTGTGGATGAAGCTTATTACCTCATTGCCTTTATAGTGGGAATCAAGGGTGAATAAAAATGGCAACTCTTTGCTTGCCTTAATGACTTTGTTTTGTTTGTGTTATTATCCATCCAAGTGAGTTTCCCTCCAGACATGAACCCCATGCTTTGCCTGTTTGTTTCAGGATGGAAGGAGGCGAGCTGTTTGACAGGGTGGTAGGGAACAGACGCCTGAAAGAAGCTACATGCAAACTTTTTTTCTACCAGATGCTCCTGGCTGTACAGGTAAAAAGCCAACAGTGCTTATGACAGCCTACTTTCTTGTAGGTCAATTGCTCTGTGAATTAGTCAGAAAGTGAGGGAACATGGGTGAAAACCTGGAGAACAGAGTTTGTGTGTGTATTGTTTGTTTGTTTTTGGCAAAAACATCTCCCCCTTTGACTCAGATGAGAAAGCTCTTGCTGTGAAGCTTAAGAGACAGTAGTAAAAAAGGGAGCTAAAGAAATAAACACATGGTCCCCGCGTGTCTTCTCTTTAGCTTGGAGTTATTTGTGGAGGGACACTGATCTCTACTGCTTCCTGATCCCTTACCTCTTGATGGAAGAGGAGCAGGTATGAGGATAAGGCTGGCAAGTTGAGGTGATTGTGATAGTTGGATCACTCCCCCTTGGCCCAGTATTAGGTGTTCCCTTCATGGGCAGCATCCTGTTAACCGCAGCAGGCAGGCAGGCAGGCATGTACACTGCCTTCTCTTTATTCCATGAAAGTGTTGAATGGAGAAACAGTTGGTGGCATTCTTCCTGCTTTGAAGAACATCACCCTGTCTCAAACCAAATTTGTTTGTGGCAATTCTCAGCCAAGATTTCTTCCCTTGAAAACCCACTTCATGCAGGAAATTCAGTGATTGGGACCAGCTGTCATATTGAGTGACGATTGAGGGAGATTTTCCTGGGGCTGGTCCACCTGGGCTTGCCCTCCCCGGGGGCTTTACCAGGTCCCATTCCCAGTGCAATTGTTTTGGAGGAATTTCAGTTCTAGGCCACAGGAGATAGCCAGAGAAAATTGAAACACATAAACACCTAACCAGTTCTTTATTCTCTTAATAATTTATTACCTCTCTTATACCAAGAATATTGAGATGAAATGAGTACAGATCTGTGCACATGGGAAAATTTTTTGTTAATGAAATATGACTTAGTGTATAAATATGATCAGACAGAGAAACGTTAACCTAGTACCGAAGGTCCTCAACTTACAATGGTTTGACTTAGGATTTTTCAACTTTATGGTGGTGCAAACGTGATAAAAGTTTAGTAGAAACCATATTCCAGTTTTGAATTTTTATGTTTTTCTGGGCAAGTGATTTGTAGTATGATACTCTTTCTCAATGCTGGGCAGCGGTAACAAGCTACAGACATGATCTTGAGGATAATAACTGACACTCTACAGTATATTCGTTGTGTTAAATGATTTTGCCCAACTGTTGGCTAATGCAAGTGTTCTGAGCAAATTTAAGGTAGGCTAGGCTAAGCTATGATGTTTGGTAGAGTAGGTGTATTAAACTCATTTTGACTTAAGATAGTTTCAACTTATGAGTTTATCAGGATGTAACCCCGTCATAAGTCGAGGAGCATCTATATTTCATACCATAGAGTTTTGAAGACTAATTCTTCACATCGATGAGTTTAATGCTGGGTATATAAATAAATAATTTATAATATGTATTTTACAGATTCTCTTTAAAAATATTATTCTCAGGGTTGGAATAATCAAATGTATCATTTTGGTAGAATTTTTATGGTTTATAATATTATGGTCTTTAAAATACTTTATATCACCCATTTATATTTTTATTATTGAAATTGACATTTTATATTTCTGCCAATCTGAAGGGATATTTATTATTTTGAAGAGTGAAATAAAGTGTCCACCTGCTATCATAAGTTTCCTTTTTCATTTCTGTACTTTAAAAGATTTCCTTGAGCTCTGGCTAGATTTCTCAGTAGTTAGAGCATCGGCCCACAGACAAATGAGTCTTGGGTTCGATTCTGGTTAAGGGCATGTACCTCGGTTGCAGTTTGTCCCTGGCCCTGGTTGGGTCATGTGGGAGGCAACCAGTCAATGTTTCTCTCTCACATAGATGTTTCTCTCTCTCCGCCCCCCCCCCCCCCCACTTTATCTGATGATAAATTGAAAAATATCCTTGGGTAAGGATTAAAAAAAAAAAAGATTTTCTTGAAAATAAATTTGTAACAGTAACCCCTTTATCCAGGAGTTTTCTATGATTGGGGGGAATATATTTGTGAGTAATGTGGCTTACAGTTTCCCTCAGATGTAAGCTGTGTGTGTGTGTTGTCTCTACTCACATGCATATTCCATAAATTTAAGAGTCATGCCTCCCTTTCTGTGTAGTACCTTCATGAAAATGGTATTATACATCGGGATTTAAAGCCAGAAAATGTTCTACTTTCATCTCAGAAAGAGGACTGTCTTATAAAGGTAAGAAATTTATGTTCTGTATGTGGCCATTCCAGTAGACCTATTCAGAAACTTTTTTTAATTCATCAGGTAAAAAGTAGGAGCTTGAAATGGTTGAAAACTTGATCTTTCTACTTTTAGCAATTATTTTTACAGATTAGGTGGTATTGCTTCAATCCAGATTCTAGTGAGCATTTGTTAAGCTCCCCTGTGTACAAGCCACTTCTGTGTTCAGAGGGAGGAAGAGAGGGTTGTGTAAATGATGAGTGAATTACATCCCATCTTCTCCTTCCCTCTATCTGAGGTAATGCTTCCCAAACCTGGCTTCACTTTAGAATTTCCTATTGATTTAAATAAATACATAAATACATAAATACATAAATAAATAAGATCATGACATCCAGGCTGCTCCTCAGGATCTCTGAAGGTAGCACCCAGGTATTCCAGTGTGCAGCCAAGGTTGAGAAACTGGGGTCTAAGAAGAACCATGCAAAACTAATAAGAATCCTGGAGTGTCTGTGATAAGAGTTATAAACCTTTTGTAAGGTTATAGAGAACACAGATAAGTTGGAAAAAAGCCCGGGCCTTGAGGTTTCTTGGCTCAGGAATTTGAATTTAAGCAAAATTGAGTAACTTGCAAAGCCCAGAATTGCCTTAAGTTAGACACGAATTTGTAGATTCCAGATTAACATCAGACATGAGCTGTAGGATTGAAACCGAGTTAACCTGCATGTCTTTTGGGACTGGCAGACTATGTTAATCTTTTCATTTTATGCTATTTTAAAATTTCTCTCTGTCTTTATTTTTAGATTACTGACTTTGGGCAGTCCAAGATATTGGGGGAGACCTCTCTCATGAAAACCTTATGTGGTACCCCTACTTACTTGGCTCCCGAGGTTCTTCATTCCTTTGGGACTGCTGGATATAACCGTGCTGTGGACTGCTGGAGTTTAGGAGTTATTCTTTTTATATGGTAAGAAAAGTTTTCATTGCTTCAGAGTCTGGTTGGAATTAATTAGGTGCAATCAGAAACATATCCAGGTAGAGGGCTTGTGTTTAATTTAGGTCACTTTTTTGGCCATTGATTTATAGACAATTTTAAATTTTCATTATGCTGAAAAAAAAATCTATATATCTGAATGCCACTGAGAATGCCACTTGATTTCTTTTCCTTTCTCTCTCTACCAATATTAAGCCTTAGTGGGTATCCACCTTTCTCTGAGCATAAGACTCAAGTGTCACTGAAGGATCAGATCACCAGTGGAAAATACAACTTCATTCCCGAAGTCTGGGCAGAGGTCTCAGAGAAGGGTATGGATACGAAAGGGTTAAGAATTTATGGTTTGCTGAACCGTGTGTGTGCTGTGGTGGGAGAGTTTCTTTTCAAATTCTATTATGTTTTTCTCCTGTCAATTCTGTTCTTATTTCCTGTTGTTCTGCACCATTTGAGAGGCAACGGAAGGTATTAAGAACACAGGCTCCAGAGCCAGGCAAATCTAGACTGAAGTCTTGGGTCTGCTACTCCTAGCTATGTGACCTTAGGCAAGTTGCTTAAACTCTCTGAGTCTCCTTTATTTGTAAAGGGGACACAATAAACCCCTGCCTTAAAGGTTTTTTGCAAGGGTTAAATAATGTAACATACACAAGTGCCTGGTACCTTATTTAAGTGTGCCAAATAATAAGTAACTTTTTAGTTACAAGGTTTCCTTTCAGTAAATAAGCATGCAAGAATAAAGTAAGTAGTTACTTAGTGTTTAAGAATTTAAATGTGTAACTTTGTAATTCTCAAAAGAAAAAAGTAGAAAACTAAAACTAAATGACAAATAATGTAACATAGATGATTGTGTTAAATGTTAGTGTCTAAGGAATAATATTGTTGCAGTATACAAGCCAGCCTCCACTTGTTGCTGGCCATCAAGCTTTGTGTCTGCCAAGCCTGCAGTTCCAGGAGCCTCTCTCTGCCTGAGGAACTCTCACCATCAATCTGTGGGTCTCAGGGAGAGTTGGCTCTGCATCCTGAGTGTTAGAACTGGGTAGAAGTTCAGCTTTAATTAGTTTGAACTTGTATCCAGCATTGAGAGAAGGAACAGTGAGCTAAGAGGTTGTGATGTCTGATCAGGGAGAGATGGTCATTCCCGGTGTTCTCAGAGTAGTCTGATGAATACAAGAGTGAGGAGGATTAGGGGGCCCTGTCCATTGTACCTGCTGATTCCTCGATGACCTCAGCCCCCCACCCCTCTTTCTGGATGTTGGCCTGTGATTCTGACATACTTTAATTTTGCTGATTGATTGTATTTACCCTTCTTACTCTGATTTACCAAATTATCTTATTGCTTTAGCTCTGGACCTCATCAAGAAGTTGTTGGTAGTAGATCCAAAGGCACGTTTTACGACAGAAGAAGCTTTAAAACACCCGTGGCTTCAGGTGGGTATGGGACAATGCCTCATAGCGTAAAATACATGGGCAGCCCTGAAGAAGATGGAAACCCAGCGTTTGCTTTTTGGGTCTGTTTAATGCAGCTGTTTTAGATTAGTCTTTAGGTGTGTGGGGTATGTGTATATGTGTGTGTGTGGGTGAGGGAGTGTCTTGGTGTGGTGTTTGGGTGCAACCTCTTTTTAACTTGATTCATGGCTCTTGGATGGACAAACTTACTTTATGGCCTGTCTTGGTTCTATTTGGCTTCCCTGGGTCTGCAGTTCGGCTGTTGTTCCTTTGAGAGGTTGTTCTAATTCTGAACTTCCACTCCCATTTGTGCTCCCGCCTTCTCTCAAACCTCTACTCCAAACAGGTGGGATGGGCTGCATTCCAGCCATCTTCAATTTTAAATCAAGGAAGCAGGGGTTGGAGGGGGAGGGCAGCCTCCCCAGGGTGGGGGTGGGCATATCTAACTATCTCTTAAGCCCAAGTGACTGGATATAAAGGGTCCTACTTGTTCCTGGAGAGTAAGCATGCCATTAGAGCATACTGTCACCTGTGCCTTTCAAGTGTGCATTACCTCTGTGTCCCTGCTGGGAGTTGTGGTTGCCATTAGATTATGCGCTGACCTCATTCCAGCTGCTGGAGTTGGAAGTCCTTTGTGGCTTTGCTGGGGTAATCTTTGGTTTAGGAATTAGCTACAGCATCCTGCAGGCTTTCTGATGGATTTCAGTTTAAGTGCAGTTCCATTCAGCACAGCCACACCCCTTTCTGTGAACTTTCATTTGGTATCTCTGTTTCCTATGGCGTGGAGAATTTAATGATCCAGTCTCAGCACTGTGCTTCTGGGACTCTGGGAAGACTGTCCCCATACTTTTTCTCTTCCAACCCTCCACACCTAACAGTTTGGCTCAGGTCAGCTCAGGTTGAGAACAACAAATCCTTAAAAGAAATGGTTAAGAAGTAGATTTGGGATGTTGCCCTGGAAACAGCAGTGTCCGTCCCTCCCCTCCTCAAGAAATCTGTCAGATGATTTAGCACTCAATAGACCACACAGATTTGAAGCAGCAGACCCTGGAGAAAAGGAATTTGGAAACAAAGGGTGCCTTCCTATGCTGGGGTTTAATTTTGATGAAAAAGAAAAACATGCCTCTTGGCTCTTTTCATGTGTCCTAGGAGGGAAACTCTTGGGGGCCAGATGTGGAAGTAGAGGGAGCTGTGTTAGTCTTGAAAAAAAATGGAGCTGCCTAGTTAGGCCTGGGAACAGGGTTTGCATCTGCCCAAAATGTATGAACAAGCATAGTCTATTTTTCTTGTACCTTTTGTCTCAAAAGAAAACTTACTAACAGCCGAGGGAAAGGTGAAGTTCAACCCGGCCACAGGGGTCTCACTTGAGTACTCTTTCGTAGCAGAAGGTGGAATGAACATCGAATGAGGACTAGGATGCAAATTGCTCACATAAATCGTCTCCTAGTGATAGTTTATGTTTTATTTTGGGAAAATTCAGTGTTCTTGAGGAAACCAAATGGTTTTGTGGGTCTGGCACTGGACTGAGCACTGGGAATATGAGTTCTGGTTTGTTTTGTCATTAGCAGAGTATCCAGTTTTGGGAGCATCCCTTAAATCCACTTTTTGCCTCATGTTTACTTCCTGAAATAGAGGATTCTTTCCTCCTTGCCATTGAGGCACTATTACAGTTTATATTTTTGAATAGATGTGAACATTTCAAAGAAAAGATATTTATGGATACACACTACTACCTCTGATATGTTAAGATAAAAAACTCTTTTTAGATATTATTGCTTATTGATGACTTGATTTAAATATAGGCCTAAATAGCTTATGGTCAGCTCTGTTTGGCTGCACTGAAGAGCTGCCACATGAGGGGCATTCCAGTGTCGTTTCATTTCTTCATGTATTTATTCTTTTTTTCTTTTTACTTTTTAAAAATTGATTTGAGAGAGAGAGAGAGAGAGAGTAAGGGAGAGCGAGAATGAGAGAAACACCGATTTTGTTGTTCCACTTATTTATACATTCATTGGTTACTTCTTGTATGTATCCTGACGGGATCAAACCCGCAACCTTGGTTTATCGGGACAATGCTCTAACCAACTGAGATACCCGGCCAGGGCCTTCATGCACTTATTCTTTCAGAGGATAGTTAATGAGCTCATGTATCTGTTAGGGCACTATGGTTGCAAAGAGGAATAATATATGTCCTTGCCTTGGGGAGCTGACAGTCTGGTGGGGCCAACTCTGACATAATCTCTACAGAGCAGTGTGATACATGTGGTAGCAGTAGAACATGCAGAGTACTGGGGATCCCTAAAATGAAAGGGGGCGCCCTGGTTGGTTTTCCTCAGTGGTTAGAGTGTCGACCTGCGGTCCAGAGGGACTTGGGTTCAGTTCCCGCTAGGGGCGCATGCCTCAGTTGCGGTTTGTCCCCGGCCCTGGTTGGTCATGCGGGTGGCAGCCACTCGAAGTGTCCCTCTCTCTCTTTCCCCCTCTCTCTCTCCCACTCTATCTGAACAAAAAATGGAAAGGTGTCCTCGGGTGAGGATAAAAAAATAAAAAATAAAAAAAAAATAAAATGAAAGGGGGCCACTACCTATGGGGCTTTAGGTACCCACAGGTTCACATGGTGTAAAAGGTGTCTAAAAATTGAGTCACCTGGGGATGATATGGGAATATTCGTTTGTTGGGCCTGCAATAAGAAAATACCACAGACTGGGTGGCTTAAACAACAGACATTTATTTTCTCATAGTTCTTGAGGCCAGAAGTCCTATTTTAGGGTATTGGCAGATTTGGTTTCTCCCGAGGCCTCTCTCCTTGCCTTGTAGGTGCCTGCCTTCTCTCTGTCCCCAAATGGTCTATTCTCTGTACGTTCATACCCCTGGTGTCGTCTTCTTTTTTTTTTTTAACAATTTTATTTTATATATATATATATTTTTTTCTTTATTGATTTTAGAGAAAGAGGTAGAAACACTGATGAGAGAGAATATTGATTGGCCGCCTCCTGTGTGTCCCCCACCGGAGATTCAGCCCACAACCTGGGCATGTGCCCTAACCGCGAATCGAACATGTGACCTCTTGGTGCATGGGTCAGTGCTCAACCACTGAGCCACACTGGCTGGACTCTTTTTTTTTTTTTTTTTAATCCTCACCCGAGGATACTTTTCCATTTTTTGTACAGATAGAGTGGGAGGGAGAGAGAGGAAGGGAGAGAGGGAGGAACATCGACGTGAAGGGACACATCGAGTGGCTGCCACCCGCACGACCAACCAGGGCCGGGGACAAACTGCAACCGAAGTACGTGCCCCTAGCGGGAACCGAACCCGGGTCTCTCCGGACCGCAGGCCGACGCTCTAACCGCTGAGCCAAACCGGCCAGGGCTGGCTGGACTCTTTTTTAAAAATTTTTTTTAAATTTATTTTTCTTTATTGATTTTTTTTTTTAATCCTCACCCAAGGACATTTTTCCATTTTTTTTATTCAGATAGAGCAGGAGGGAGAGACAGGAAGGGAGAGAGAGAAACATCGACATGAAAGGGACACATCGAATGGCCACCACCCGCATGACCCAACCAGGGCCGGGGACAAACTGAAGCCAAGGTACATGTCCTTAGCAGGAACTGAACCCAGGTCTCTGTGGACCGCAGGCTGACGCTCTAACCACTGAGCAAAAACGGCCAGGGCTCTTTATTGATTTATAGAGAGAGGAAGGGAGAGGGGAGAGAGAGAAACATTGATGACAGAGAATATAGATCGGCCGCCTCCTGAATGTCCCCCACAGTGGGGATTTGGCCCACAACCTTGGCATGTGTCCTGACCAGTGACCTCTTGGTGCATGGGTCCATGCTCAACCACTAAGCCACACCGGCCAGGCTCTTTTTTTATTCTTATGAGTTTACCAGTCATTGGATTATGGCCCCACCCTAACAACCTCATTTTAACTTGTAATTATCTCTTTAAAAGCCCTGTTTCCAATTTTGGTCCATAACAATGGGGGACAGCATTTTCAACATTGATTGAGTCCCTCTGATATGAAGGCTACTGTGTTTTTACAGTGTCTGACATATAAGGGTGCTTGGGAAATATTGTTCACTGAGTAAATAAGGAAGGTGGGTGAGGTAGACGGGCAGGAAGGAAGGCAAGGAGGTCATTCCTGATGGAGGCTATGAGAAGGTACAGGAAGAAATAAGGAAATAAGGGATGGACCTTTGAGCCCTGGCCAGTTTGGCTCAGCGGTTGAGCGTCGGCCTGCGGACCAGAGAGTCCCGGGTTCGGTTCCTGCTAGGGGCACGTACAACCGAAAAAAAAAAGGGGGGATGGACCTTTGAGAGTGATACTGCACGAGAAGTGGGATCCTAAGGGACAGTGTACAGTGGAATCCAGATGAACTTGGCAGTCTCAGATAGGTAGTGGGGTGCCACACTGAGTGATGCAAGAAATAAGAGTAGTGGAAGCAGGTAATTCTAGCTACTAGATGCAGAACAGGTGAATGAATCCTCGAGCACTGTAATTTTTCTATAACCATCAAATTGCTGAATATTGGAGTCCTTCACTCCTGTGTCATCCCCTTATCCCCCGTGGTACACTTGGCCTAGTAGGGGGAATGGAAGGGAGGTTGGGTGGGAAAGTACATGGGGCTTTGGAATCAGGCAGCTCTGGGTCTGTATTCTGTACACACTACTTATAGTGACTATGCTGGGCTTCCAGCTGGTCCCAAAGCTCACACCTGTTCTTTGTCATGGATATTTCACCTTTCTGAAGATGGGGAGAGTGGCACCAGGTCACCTGTCAGGGCTGCCAGATGCAAATCCTTGAAGCTGTAGAAGTGAGCAGGTGAGGTGGGAGTTCTGTGTACACTCCCTACCCCCACTCCACACTTCCCCTTCTAGTAGCAAGAAACATCTTTAATGCTTTGGCCTGTTCACTTGTCTTTCTTTTTCATTAGACCCCAGCTCTGGATATTGTGGACTTGAAAATCCTTCTGGAGACTTGTACAGCACTTGCTGAGTGAATTTTCCTAGGGTGCTGTGTTGGTTTGTTAGGATGGCCCCAGTAACTGGCAGGGGGAGGGGGCGACCTCCTGGAAAGGCTGAGGAGCTGCATGGAGTCAGCCCCAGCCTCTGGCCTCCTGATTGCCATCTCTGTCGGGATCTGGAATGCTGGTTCTAAAAGTCTTAGGTCTGTGGTTCTGACCCGCCAAGAGCTCTTAAGCATGTGGTTTTGATCCAGCCAGTGTTGATTGAGCACTGATTACTGATTAGACGAGAAGGCACATGGTCCTTTCCCTCCTAGAGCTTCAGTAAGGGCATGCCACTCAGTTGACAGATCAGACGTCTTTGCTCACTTCTCTGTTTCCAGGGGCTTCCCAGCTCTGTCTCTCTAGGAGCTTCTCCTCAAACACAACCTACTTATGTTTTTTGTTTCTTCATAGGATGAGGATATGAAGAAAAAATTTCAAAATTTGCTTTTTGAAGAAAATAAGTCAACTGCTCTACCCCAGTTCCCAGCCCAGGTATTTCAGATGGTGGTCATTAAATATAGGCTAAGTTTAAAGGGCCAATGAACAAGGATGATGATTTTGAATGTAGTAGATATGCTGTTTCAGCTCTATCTGCTCTAGCACTCTTAGAAGATTTAATAATGAACAGTGTGCTTAGTGCATTAGAGAAGTACAGCTAGGGATTGTCATTCAAGAAGTCTCCTGTAAGGCAAGATTAAAAGACTGTATTAGAGGCTCAAACTGAAAGCTTTTGAAATTTTAAAATTTGGGTGAATGGTTGATGATTTATTGATTATAGTTTTATTCCTCCAAAGTTCTTTGTAAGTATAAGTTAATATTATTCATTCCTGTGCCACCCTCTTCTGGTGAATAACACTCCTCTTTCCACTTTTCCCTCGCAATTTTATAAATGGGAAAATAAAGACACAAAAAAGACGGTCTTCCCACAAAAGAGCAAGACTTGGGGCTCCCAGTGAAAAGTATTGTCATCTCTTTAAACTTCATAATTTAGGAGAAGATGGCCAAGAGGAAGCTGGTTATGCTGCTTATTGTCATTATATATTGAGCGATTCAAAGCCATAGAGAGAGAAATGTCAGTTTGAAGAGCATGTCTGAGTCTGGGGGAGATGGGGACTCTGATGTCAGTGAGGATGACAGTAATTTTTGGTGTACTAGAAGTTTCACATGAAATGCTCCAAATTTACTAGGAGCATATTGGGAAACTTTGATAATCTTAAAGAAGCCAGTGGTTTTATTTGAACACTTCTCCCTTTTCCTTTTTTCCAGCCTTCTACAAGTCGAAAGCGGCTCCTTGAAGGGGAGCCGGAGGATGCTGGCACCACAAAGCGCCTGGCTGTATGTGCTGCTGTCTCGTGAACACTGGTTGAATGTGAAAGAAATGTAACTTCTTGACTCTGCTGCCATTTTCTTTTTGACTTTGCGTTTTAATTATGGGAACAGCTACTTTTCTGAAGTCATCAATACACAATGAAAAACCTAATAGAACCTGGGCTTCGTGCTTCAGCTTGATGATCTTCTTTAGTTGCATGCCTTTTTCTGTGTGTGTGTGTGAAATCATGTGCCTTTTGTCTGGCACACTACCTTGGCCGTCACCAGCCAGGTTTCTCAGGATATGTCCTCGATCTCAGCCTGGGGAGATGCATACAAATTCTAAAGGCTCTGTAGAAAGTTGCAGAGAAAGGGGCACTGTGAAGTTGGGGTGGCGTGTGTAGAGACTGACTGGCTGCCAAAGTCTTCCTGAGACAGTAGGTACCTTGGTGCATATACCATGGGCCTGTTTTAAATTCTCATCCTCACCCTCTTAAAGATACAGGTCCACAGTTATGCTCAGGAATATAAGCCAAATATATGATTCCATTTATATGAGGTACCTAGAGTAGTCAGACTTGGAGACAGAAAGTAGATTGGTGGTTGCCAGGAGCTGGGGTAGGGAGTTATTGTTTGATGGATAGAGAGTTTCTATTTTGCAAGATGAAAAGAGTTCTGGAGATGGATGGTGGTGATGGTTGTACAAAAATGTGAATACTTAATCCCACTGAAATATATACTTAAACATGGTTAAGGTGTTAAATTTTGTATTTTACCACAATAAAAACAAAAAGATACAGAACTAGATAAGTTGTAAAATTCATTATTTTCCTGATTTTAGGAAGGGGACATGGCACATCAGCTGTATTATGTGTAATACCAAGCAGAGCCTGTAACCAAGTATTGATATTTCTGCAGCAGATATTCATAATAAAAGGGATAGAGAAGACTTTAAGGCCTATCAGACATTTCTGTAAAATGAGTTATGGTATCTGTTTTTGGTTTGGGTTCTAGAAATGCAGATAAGGGTGTGTCCTATTGACCCAACAGTGACTAAGGAGGCCCTAAGTGAAGCCCCTCCCTTCGGCTTGTTTAGTCCTGAAAGTGATTCTATGGGCTAGATCCCCTGACCACTGTTGTGTTTAGGTGACTTGTCCAGTGTCATACAGTTAGTTAGTGGCAGAGCTGGGACCCAACCCAGATCTTTTTGACTCTAATGTTCTTCATCTCCTTAGTCTCATATTTAATTAGACTCAGGGATGTTGACTCTGATAAAACTCAAAAGAGACTGATGTCTAAATCTTGAATGCTCGTGTGTTAAATTATAGGTGGGTACAGCCCCATGATCTGGAAGTTGGGACACCTTGGTTGCAAAGAACAGGAGTCCCATTCAAGTTACTTCATGGGAAAGGGGATTTGTTTTCAAGGTTGCAGATGGCTGGATCTGGGAATCATCAGGACCCCAGATAGTTCTAATGGCTGCTTCCTCTTGTCTCTTTGATCCACTCATTTTCCTTCTCTTATAACTTTGGTTGATGCTAGGCCACATTGTAGCTTGCTAGCCATGCCATAAATTGAGTGCCTTGGTGCAGATGCCACTGGTGAGCCAGTCAGGACAGGGTCAGGAGCACACAGCTGTTGTCCCAGGCAATGGAAGGTAGTGGTTGGTAATTTCCATTAGAAGGGTGTGCAAGCATTCTGAAGCTTGACTGGTGTGGTGCCTGGGGACTAGATGGGGATTTAGGTGGTTTTCATATTTAAAGGAATGTGGCTGAGATTGCCAAGTTAGATGGGGTTTAGTTCATTTGAATATTTAATGTTAAGGCTATGGTTTCTTAGGGCATTTTCCCCTCTGGGGCAGTCCATCAGCCCTTCTCTGTTTCCAGAGCACTTTGTATTAGCTCCCTCTGATTATACCTACCATGGTAGGCTGACTAATGTCCCCCAAAGATGTCCTCATCATAATCCCAAGAATTTCTGAATATGTTCCTTTACATAGAAAAAGAGACTTTGCAGTTAGGGATCTTGAGATGGGAGGATTATCCTTTCCTATCTGGGTGGACCCAATGTCATTACAATGTATTTTATTTTATTTTTAAGAGGGACCTAAGAGGAGTCAGAATCAATCAGAAGAGATGTAGTGAAGTGTTTTGAAAATGGAGCAAGAGGCCAAAAGCCAAGGAATACAGGCTTTCACTAGAAGCTGAAAATAGGCAAGGAAATGGATTGTCCCTCAGAACCTCCTGAAGGAACCAGTCCTTACACCTTTAGCCACGTGAAACTATCAGAATAAATTTGTGTTTTTAGCCATCCCAATTTGTGCTAATTTGTTATAGCAGCCATAGGAAACTAATAGACTCATCAATGGAGAGGTATCAGGTGCTGATCTGGGGCCACCCAACATTCATTTTATAACTTCACTCATTTTTGGGGGTCCCCCTACCCCATGAAATCATGGGGGGAGTGGGAGATGATAAAGTAAGTGTCTGCCTGCCTGACCTCCACTATGGAAGCTGAAGGGGTCCTTAGAGGCTCTTTACCTGGTAGAGTGCCTTCCACTGGCCCCAGCTGGAGATGATCACAAGATTTTGAAAATTGAGCAAATGGATGACACATTGGTGGTAGGAGCAATACTGTGCTAATCAGAGTTTTCTGCATTTTCTGACTTTGGCTTTGGGCAAGTTACTTCAAAATGGGTGCAATGAGAGTATTAACCTCATATGGTGTTCATGAGGATACAGTGGTAGGTTTATTAAAAATGCCTGGCACATAGGTGGTAAGGAATCCATCAGTGTTGGCTTCCATCATTAAAGGTGGGAGGGCCACATAAGTAGCCAGAAGAAGCCATAGAAAGTTCTTGAGCAGAGAAATATCTGTTTAGCTTTTTGGAGGGCACATAAGATGGGTAGATAATTAAGATACCTTTGACAGCCCTGGCTGGTTTGGCTCAGCAGTTGGAGCGTCGGGCTGCGGTCCAGAGAGACCCGGGTTCAGTTCCTGCTAAGGGCACGTTCCTTGGTTGCAGTTTGTCCCCGGCCCTGGTTGGTCGTGCGGGTGGCAGCCACTCGATGTGTCGCTTTCACGTCGATGTTTCTCTCTCTCTGTTCCTCTCTCTCCCTCCCACTCTACCTGAACAAAAAATGGAAAAATGTCCTCAGGTGAAGATAAAAACAAAACAAAACAAAAAAGAGTCATACATGCCTGGCCGGTGTGGCTCAGTGGATTGAGCATCATCCCATGCACCATGAGGACACAGGTTCGATTTCGGTCAGGGCACATGCCCAGGTTGCACAGGCTCAATCCCCAGGAGGTGTGCAAGAGGCAGCTGATTGATGTTTCTCTCTCACATAGATGTTTCTATCTCTCGCTCTCCCTCTCTCCCTTCCTGTCTAAAAAAAAAAAAAATCAATAAAAACAACAAAAAAAGATACCTTTGACAAAGCAGATTTGAGAAATGCCAGGCCTAGAGTGAGTGGTAGGAGCAGAGGTAGAGGGGCATTTCCCAGTGGCTGAAGTAACTGCCACTTCCTTCTGAAGAACAAGCATCTTGCTCCATGGTGTACCTGCTCTATGCCTAGGTGATGGTGCAGTGGACAGCTCTTATTTGTGCCAGTCCTGTACCTGATGCCTCTTGTGCTAACTGCATCCCTATTTTTGTCTAGGGGAGGCATCTCTCTCCCTACTTGCCCCTACCCCATGTCCTTCAGGAGGGGTTAACCCTGCCTGCTTCCTAGAGGGGCTCCATATAGCCAGGTCTGGCCAATCTTGTGACTGGCTCAGGCAAGGGCATGTGACCGCAATGGGTGCAATGAAAGTTAACACTGAAACTTTGGAGGGAATTGTTAGGAAGCTCTTGCTTTCCCGGTCAGATATGAGGTAGGTCAGACACCTTCACGACGGGGATCTCATCATTTTAGAGATATCTTTCGCCCAACATTTCTTGAGTGTGGGACACTATGGGAAAATAAATGTAGGAGAATGAAGCAATCTCAGGGAAGCAGAACTGAGATTGGAGAAAGACAGGCTACTGTTTCAGCACCTGGATCTAGCTATGCCTGTAATGAGGCCCCGCCCCAGGACTTCTCAATAGGCTCCCTTTTTTGTTTTACTTCGGTTGAGTTGGCTTTTTTTTTTTTTTGTCACTTGTATCTGGAAAAGACCAGACTAATAAATTCATTCAACCATTTACTAACTCCGAGACACTTGGAGACTCCCCACCCCCACCCCCCACTAGGGAAAACATTCTCTACTCCTGTTTTTCTGCCAAGTTTAGGGTTTTCAGAGGGGTTTGGGGCTGAGAATGGAAAGCAAAGATGTGGGAAGTAACAGTCCTTCCAGCTCCAAGGTTGAGTTAACCCCTCCCAGCTAATTATACCACAGGGTTTGGGAGCAGAATACTTTTCATTAAACTTTTAGGAGTTTTGGAAGGATAGGGCTGGAGTTATACTAGTGAAGCTTGGAGAGCTTGGTGTGTGCTAGGCATTGTGCTCAGGGACATGCCTGCTCATCTGAAAGCTCATCTCAACTTGGCCTGTTACTACTGCCACTCTCCCCTTTGAAGATTAGAAATCAAGGCTCTGACTGGGTCAAGTGACCGCTTCAAGTTTTCCCAGTTTGTAACAGGTGGAGGCAAGACTTGAACTGAGATTTCCCTTCTCAAGAGCCCTTTGCGTTAAACCATTAAACAAATATATTTAAGAGGTCTTGTCATTGGGTTACCACTTGGCACGTTTTAGGCGCGGTGTTGACACTTTATCTGGATTATTTCATTGAGTCTTCCCAACAGGCCTTAGTTGTCGGACCTTCCTGATTAAGGAGAAACAGACCCCCGGGGTACCGGACTTGAATCACTCAAAGGTTAGTGGAGATGCGGGGCTCTTAACTCAGGGTCTCCATGGAGTCTGGATCTCCCAGAGCCATGGGCATTCACTATGCTTCTTGCTCACGCACGTGCTTGCACACCTTCACGACGGGGATCTCATCATTTTAGAGATATCTTTCGCCCAGCATTTCTTGAGGGTAATTCCCTCCTGGTCCTCCTGGCCCCAAGCCCCGTGCAGCGGTGAAGCAAAAGGTGCAGTGTCGGGAAGGGGCCAAGGAACCTGGGCCTGGGGTCGTCCTCAGTGCAGCAGGCGGCCGCGCGAACCCATGACGGTGAACACTCCAGCCTGGCCGGACGGGTGCGGAGGGGGTGGGCGCGACGCCGGGAACAGCGGACGGCTCCGAGGGCACGAGGCGGGGCAAGCGGGGAGGGGGCGCGGCGAGTGAGCGCTTGCGCGGTGGTGGTGGTGGTGGGGTTGCGCGGAGGCGCGCGGGGAGCGGGCGCAGCGAGTGCGCGCGTGCGTGGTTGCGGGGGCTGGTGTGGGTTGCCGCGGCGGCGCGCGGCACGGCGGGAACATGGCGCGCGGAGCCGGCGCGCGCGCCTAGCTGGCGGGACCGTTAGCTCGAGGCAGACGCGGCCCGGGCGCCGTGGGGATGGAGCAGTCGCCGCCGCCGGCGCTCGAGCCAACCCCGGGGCCGACCCCGGCACGGAGCCGTAGGCGGCGGGAGCCCGAGTCGCCGCCGGCGCCGGTGAGTGCGTGAGGGGCGCGGGCCGGGAGACTTTCTTTGTGAAACTCCGTCGGTGCGAGCCGGGCCGGGCCTCGGCGGCTGACGAGAGCCCGCGAGGCGGAACCCGCCCCGCCGTACGGGTTCGAGCCCCGCCTTGCATCGCTGGGCGGCGGGAACTGGTATCGCTTGTGCGCCTCATTTTTTTCGGGAGTATGTGTGCGCACGACCAGTTTCGGGGAGCGGTATACAGTCGGCGCCTAATGCACGTGGCGCCTTCGCCTTACCTTCGTTCTTTCGGGACGGCAGGCCCCAAATCCGGGCCCATGGGAGAGGTAGACAGCAGCCGCTGGGAGACAGGTGTCGGCACAGTTGCGGGAGGCTCAGGTGTAGACAATCCTGGTGGAATCTCAGAGAGTGAGCTGTCCGACCCAGGAAGGAAGCAAGTCTGCCAGTGGCTTAGTACGGAGTGATTTCGGAATGCTTTACACCCACCCCAGCTTCATGGTGTGTTTGGGATATTGGTCAGGGTGAAGGATGCTTAGCGAAATGGACTTTGGAGGTGTGGCATCTTGCTGGAGGATGGGATGGGATGGGATGGCCCTGAGCATGGGGCTCTCAAAACAGCCTGGATCATACGAGCGCTTGACGAAAGTACAGGCGTCACAACTTACCCCAGGCCCACGGACTCTCCAAGGCATGCAAGCAGATTTTGAATTTTTAACAAGCTCCCAAATTATTGTGATCAGGCAAATTTGGCAAGCACTATCTTCCTGTGAGCAGAGGGACCTGTTCTGTTTATAGCTCACCATGGCATCCTGGTACCAGGTGCAGTGCTTGGGACGTGGTGGATGGTCAATAAATACTTGTAGGAAGACTAAATGACTTAGGGTGCTTCCAAAATAGTTCTTGAGACACTTTCAGGAGCTTTTTGAGATTAATGACTGTCAGGTTACCGTATAATGTAATTTTTATCAGGTCCCAACATAACTTTTGTGACTGTTTATAATGCCTTGTTTTTAGTATGTTGTAGGCAGAGCAGGGTGTACATTGCTTAGTATAAACCATCAACTATGTATACCCTAGCTAGGTTAAAACTAATTCTCAAACAAAATTCTGAATTAAAATATGCATGTTTTGCGCTGGCCAGTTTGGCTCAGCAGTCAGAGAGTTGGCTGGCAGACCAAAGACTTGTAGGTTCGATTCTGGTCAAGGGCGCGTACCTTGGTTGCAGTTCGGTCTCCAACCCTGGTTGGGGTCCTGCGGGAGGCAATAAGTCGATGTGTCTCTCTCACGTAGATATTTCTCTCTCTCTCCTTCCCTCCCTCCTATTCTATCTGAGGATAAATGGAAAAAAATATGCTTGGGTGAGGATTAAAAAAAAAAGCATGTTTCTTTCTCTCTATCATTTGGGAACACTAGGCTTACAGTATTTTTCTTCCTTTGAGGCAGGTAATTATTTACATTTTCATCAAAGCAAATCTGAATTACTATGTATTTCAGAAAAGTTGGAAATTTGCTTAAACCTCTGAATATTTCTCCTCTGTATGTGATATTTTGAAATTGAGATTTTTGTTTGGTTCAGAGTCAGTGCTAAAATAGAATAGTTTGATTGGACATTATTTGATATTTCAGGGGCTGTTTTTTCACTTTTTTTGAATTTTAATAGTTGATTTCATTTTATTAGTTTCTTTTTTGTTCACTGACAAAATGTGAATGTATAGGAAGACAAGACTTTAGGAGTTGAGATTGTATCTGAGTAAGTATTGAAAAATTAGGTGCTTTATTGTCTCAGTGTGGCTGGCATTTTTGTAGTTTGTGTGGATGTTATTTTTTAAAGTTTTAAACCTGAGATATAATTGACATATAACTTATTAGTTTCAGGTGTACAACATAATGATTTGATAATTGTGTATATTATAAAAAGATTACCACAGTCTAATAAACATCACCACACAAAGTTATACATTTTTTCCTGTGGTGACAACTTTTAATATATACTCTCTTAATTTCCTCATATATGATACAGTTATTAACTATAGTCACCATGCTGTACATCACGTCCCCATGACTGATGTTTTTAAAAAGTATCTTTAAAAAAAAGAAAGCTTTGTTGCCCTGGCCAGTTTTGCTCAGCGGTTAGAGCCTCGGCCCTCAGACCAGAGAGGCCCTGGTTCTGATCCTGCTAAGGGCACGTGCCTTGGCTGCAGTTTGTCCCCGGCCCTGGTTGGGGTCGTGTGGGGGGCAACCAGTCGATGTGTCTCTCTCACATTGATGTTTCTCCCTCTCTCCCTCCTGCTCTATCTGAAGGAAAATGCAAAAATGTCTTCAGGTGAGGATTAAAACACACACACACACACACACACACACACACACAAAACCCCAGCTTTGTTGAGATACAATTCATCTACCATAGATTAATCTCTTTAGTGTACAATTCCCTGTGTATAGTATACTCACTATATATCTAACATCCCCATTATCTACTTTTAGAGCATTTTCATCACCCCACAAAGAAATCCCATACCCATTACCATTCCTTATTTGCCTTTCTCTCATCCTCTGGCAATAACCTACTTTCGGTCTCTGAATTTAACTATTCTAGACATTTAACATAATGTAACTTATAATGTGTTGTCTTTTGTGAGTGATTTCTTTCACTTAGCACAGTTTCTTTTGTTTTGTTTTGAGGCTCAAGCATGTTGTAACATGTATCAGTACTCCATTCTTTTTTATTGCTGAATATTATTTCATTAAATAAGGGTATACCTTATTTACCACATTTTGTTTATTCATCTGTTGATAGACATGTGGATTTTTTTCTACTTTTTGGTTATACTCATCTTTTGGTATTTGTGGGAGATTAGTTCCAGAACCCCTACACATAACAAGATCCCAGGATGCTCAAGTCCCTTATATAAAATGGTATAATATTTGCATATAACCTGTGCACATATTCCTGTGCACATATAACCTGTATACATTAAATCATCTCTAGATTTCTTATAATATATAACACAATGTAAATGCTATATAAATAATTGTTACACTGCATTGTTTAGGAAATACAAGAAAAAAAGTCTACATATGTTTAGAGGTAACTGTCCTAGGCTTAACTACATGATACATGTTAGTAACAACATAACTTTTTAATTTTATTTTTATTTTTATTTTTTTTAATGAATTTTTATTTATTTTTTTTTGTTACAGACATTTTACCTTTTTACCCCGTTGGCACCCACCCCCCCCCGTCCCCGGCTTAGTTGTCCATGTCCATTGGTCATGCATACATGCATATAAGTTCTGTGGTTTATCTCTTCCCACCCCCCCACCCCCCATCCCCTCTTCTGAGGGATGTCAGTCTGTGCCCTACTTCCATGTGTCTGGGTCTACTGTATTCCTCAGACTGCAACATAACTTTTTTATCTGAATATTTTCAATCAGTGGATGTGAAGCCCATGGATACAGAGGGTTAACTGTATTATGAATAATGCTGCTATGAACATTTATATACAAGTTTTAGTGTAGACATGTTTTAATTTTTCTTGGACATATCCCAATTGGTGGGTCACATGGTAATTCTATTTTAACCATTTGAGGAGCTGACAAACTCTTTTCTAAGGCACTGCATCATTTTACATTCCCACTAGGATTGTGAGGATTCCAGTTTCTCTACATTCTTTTCAATACTTGTTATTGTCTGTCTTTTTTTTTTTTTTTTTATCATCACCCAAGGACATTTTTGCATTTATCTTCAGATAGAGCAGGAGGGAGAGAAGGGGGAAGAGAGAGAGAGAAACATCGATGTGAGAGAGACACATAGACTGGTTGCCACCCACACAACCCCAACTGGGGCAGGGACAAACTGCAACTGAGGTATGTGCCCTTAGCGGAAATTGAACCCAGGACTCTCTGGTTTGCAGACCAACACTCTAACCGCTGAGCCAAACCAGCTAGGGCTATTGTCTGTCTTTTTAACTTTAGCCAACCTAGTCGGTGTAAAACGAGATCTCGATGCAGTTTTGATTTGCATTTACCTGATGACTAATGATGTTAAGAATAATTTGTTGTGCTTATTGGCCACTTCTTTTGGGAAGTGTCTATTCAAATCTCTGTCTATTTTTCTTGAAGGGTGCAGAGTCCATTTAAAAAAATGTTTTATTGATTTTTTCTTTTTTTTAGAGAGAGGAAGGGAGAGAGAGAGAGAGAAGAGAGATACATTGATGTGAGAGAGAAACATTGATTGGCTGCCTCCTGCACGCCCCCTACTGGGGAGTGATCTCGAAAGCTGGGCATGTGCCCTGACCAGGAATCAAATTGGGACCTCTCAGTCCATGGGGTGATACTCAATCCATTGAGCCACACTGGCTGGGCTGGAGTTCATTTGCCATTTGTGTGTGGTGGGGGGCAGGGATTATGTGATTTTATTTGCTTTGCTATTGATCTGTATAGTTTTGGAGGATATATGTAGAAATTTGAATTTAAGGAACCAAAGGATCTAGGAATTTTTTACAATCTTCCTCCAGCCTGTGGAATTGTCATTTTATCTTTGTGATTCTGTCATTTTTTGCCTTACATATTTTGTATTGTTAGGTTTGTTATATATTCTTCTTTATTGTTGAAAGTATTACAGATGTCCCCCCTTTTTCCCCATTGACCCCTTCCTTCCCACTCCTACTCCCCTCCTGTCTTCCCCAGCCTAATGTCCATGTCGATTAGTTGTGCATATATGCATGTAAGTTCTTTGGTTTATCTCTTCCCACCCCTCCCACCTCCCATCCTCTGAGGTTTGTCAGTCTGTTTTCTACTTCCATGATTCTGGATATCTTTTGGTTGACAGCTTATTTTGTTCATTATGTTCCATTTTTAAAAAAATTTAATTGAAATTTTTTTGCAATTTTTATTAATTTATTTTTGTTACAGATATTTCTTCTTTTTCCCCTCTAGACACCCTCCACCCAATCCCACTCCCCCACCCCCTCCCAGCATTGTTGTCTATGTCCATTGGTTACACATACATGCAT